AAAACATAAAAGTCCATTTTTCTCGGAAACGGTAAGAGATAGAGACAAAACAAGCGAAATCTGTGATCACTTTTATTTCCCACCAAAACCCAGTTTTTTGAGTAAAAATCCAGTTTTTTGAGTGAAAACATAAAAGTCCATTTTTCTCGGAAACGGTAAGAGATAGAGACAAAACAAGCGAAATCTGTGATCACTTTCATTTCCCACCAAAATCCAGTTTTTTCAGTGAAAACACAAAATTCCATTTTTCTCGAAAACGGTAAGAGATAGAGACAAAACAAACGTAATCTGTGATCACTTTTATTTCCCAAAAATCCACTTTTTTCAGTGAAAACATAAAAGTCTATTTTTCTCGGAAATGGTAAGAGATAGAGACAAAACAAGCGAAATCTGTGATCACTTTTATTTCCCACCAAAACCCAGTTTTTTGAGTAAAAATCCAGTTTTTTGAGTAAAAACATAAAAGTCCATTTTTCTCGGAAACGGTAAGAGATAGAGACAAAACAAGCGAAATCTGTGATCACTTTTATTTCCCACCAAAACCCAGTTTTTTGAGTAAAAATCCAGTTTTTTGAGTGAAAACATAAAAGTCCATTTTTCTCGGAAACGGTGAGAGATAGAGACAAAACAAGCGAAATCTGTGATCACTTTTATTTCCCACCAAAATCCAGGTTTTTGAGTAAAAATCCAATTTTTTAAGAGAAAACATAAAAGTCCATTTTTCTCGGAAACGGTGAGAGATAGAGACAAAACAAGCGAAATCTGTGATCACTTTTATTTCCCACCAAAATCCAGTTTTTTGAGTGAAAACATAAAAGTCCAGTTTTCTTGGAAGCGGTAAGAGAAAGAGACAAAACAAGCGTAATCTGTGATCATTTTTATTTCCCACCAAAATCCACTTTTTTCAGTGAAAACATAAAAGTCCATTTTTCTCGGAAACGGTAAGAGATAGAGACAAAACAAGCGAAATCTGTGATCAGTTTTATTTCCCACCAAAACCCAGTTTTTTGAGTAAAAATCCAGTTTTTTGAGTGAAAACATAAAAGTCCATTTTTCTCGGAAACGGTAAGAGATAGAGACAAAACAAGCGAAATCTGTGATCACTTTTATTTCCCACCAAAACCCAGTTTTTTGAGTAAAAATCCAGTTTTTTGAGTGAAAACATAAAAGTCCATTTTTCTCGGAAACGGTAAGAGATAGAGACAAAACAAGCGAAATCTGTGATCACTTTCATTTCCCACCAAAATCCAGTTTTTTCAGTGAAAACACAAAATTCCATTTTTCTCGAAAACGGTAAGAGATAGAGACAAAACAAACGTAATCTGTGATCACTTTTATTTCCCAAAAATCCACTTTTTTCAGTGAAAACATAAAAGTCTATTTTTCTCGGAAATGGTAAGAGATAGAGACAAAACAAGCGAAATCTGTGATCACTTTTATTTCCCACCAAAACCCAGTTTTTTGAGTAAAAATCCAGTTTTTTGAGTAAAAACATAAAAGTCCATTTTTCTCGGAAACGGTAAGAGATAGAGACAAAACAAGCGAAATCTGTGATCACTTTTATTTCCCACCAAAACCCAGTTTTTTGAGTAAAAATCCAGTTTTTTGAGTGAAAACATAAAAGTCCATTTTTCTCGGAAACGGTGAGAGATAGAGACAAAACAAGCGAAATCTGTGATCACTTTTATTTCCCACCAAAATCCAGGTTTTTGAGTAAAAATCCAATTTTTTAAGAGAAAACATAAAAGTCCATTTTTCTCGGAAACGGTGAGAGATAGAGACAAAACAAGCGAAATCTGTGATCACTTTTATTTCCCACCAAAATCCAGTTTTTTGAGTGAAAACATAAAAGTCCAGTTTTCTTGGAAGCGGTAAGAGAAAGAGACAAAACAAGCGTAATCTGTGATCATTTTTATTTCCCACCAAAATCCACTTTTTTCAGTGAAAACATAAAAGTCCATTTTTCTCGGAAACGGTAAGAGATAGAGACAAAACAAGCGAAATCTGTGATCACTTTTATTTCCCACCAAAATCCAGTTTTTTGAGTACAAATCCAGTTTTTTGAGTGAAAACATAAAAGTCCATTTTTCTTGGAAGCGGTAAGAGATAGAGACAAAACAAGCGAAATTTGTGATCACTTTTATTTCCCACCAAAATCCAGTTTTTTGAGTGAAAACATAAAAGTTCATTTTTCTCGGAAACGGTAAGAGATAGAGACAAAACAAACGTAATCTGTGATCACTTTTATTTCCCACCAAAATCCAGTTTTTTCAGTGAAAACACAAAATTCCATTTTTCTCGGAAACGGTAAGAGATAGAGACAAAACAAGAGAAATCTGTGATCACTTTTATTTCCCACCAAAACCCAGTTTTCGAGTAAAAATCCAGTTTTTTGAGTGAAAACATAAAAGTCCATTTTTCTCGGAAACGGTAAGAGATAGGCACAAAACAAGCGAAATCTGTGATCACTTACATTTCCCATCAAAATTCAGTTTTTTTTTTTTTTGTAGAAATCCAGTTTTTTGAGTGAAAACATAAAAGTCCATTTTTCTTGGAAACGGTAAGAGATACGACAAAACAAGCGAAATCTGTGAACACTTTTATTTCCCACCAAAATCCACTTTTTTGAGTGAAAACATAAAAGTCCATTTTTCTTGGAAACGGTAAGAGATAGAGACAAAACAAACGTAATCTGTGTTCACTTTTATTTTCCACCAAAATCCAGTTTTTTCAGTGAAAACACAAAATTCCATTTTTCTTGGAAACGGTAAGAGATAGAGAGAAAACAAACGTAATCTGTGTTCACTTTTATTTCCCACCACAATCCAGTTTTTTGAGTACAAATCCAGTTTTTTCAGTGAAAACATAAAAGTCCATTTTTCTTGGAAACGGTAAGAGATAGAGACAAAACAAGCGAAATCTGTGATCACTTTTATTTCCCACCAAAATCCAGTTTTTTGAGTAAAAATCCAGTTTTTTGAGTGAAAACATAAAAGTCCATTTTTCTTGGAAACGGTAAGAGATAGAGACAAAACAAACGTAATCTGTGATCACTTTTATTTTCCACCAAAATCCAGTTTTTTCAGTGAAAACACAAAATTCCATTTTTCTCGGAAACGGTAAGAGATAGAGAGAAAACAAACGTAATCTGTGTTCACTTTTATTTCCCACCACAAACCAGTTTTTTGAGTACAAATCCAGTTTTTTCAGTGAAAACATAAAAGTCCATTTTTCTTGGAAACGGTAAGAGATAGAGACAAAACAAACGTAATCTGTGATCACTTTTATTTCCCACCAAAATCCAGTTTTTTCAGTGAAAACACAAAATTCCATTTTTCTCGAAAACGGTAAGAGATAGAGACAAAACAAACGTAATCTGTGATCACTTTTATTTCCCAAAAATCCACTTTTTTCAGTGAAAACATAAAAGTCTATTTTTCTCGGAAATGGTAAGAGATAGAGACAAAACAAGCGAAATCTGTGATCACTTTTATTTCCCACCAAAACCCAGTTTTTTGAGTAAAAATCCAGTTTTTTGAGTGAAAACATAAAAGTCCATTTTTCTCGGAAACGGTAAGAGATAGAGACAAAACAAGCGAAATCTGTGATCACTTTTATTTCCCACAAAAATCCAGTTTTTTGAGTAAAAATCCATTTTTTTGAGTGAAAACACAAAAGTTCAGTTTTATCGGAAACGGTAAGAGATAGAGACAAAACAAGCGAAATCTGCGATCACTTTTATTTCCCACCAAAATCCAGTTTTTTGAGTAAAAATCCAGTTTTTTGAGTGAAAACATAAAAGTCCATTTTTCTTGGAAACGGTAAGAGATAGAGACAAAACAAGCGAAATCTGTGATCACTTTTATTTCCCACCAAAATCCAGTTTTCTGAGTGAAAACATAAAAGTCCATTTTTCTCGGAAACGGTAAGAGATAGAGACAAAACAAGCGAAATCTGCGATCACTTTTATTTCCCACCAAAACCCAGTTTTTTGAGTGAAAACATAAAAGTCCATTTTTCTCGGAAACGGTAAGAGATAGAGACAAAACAAGCGAAATCTGTGATCACTTTTATTTCCCACCAAAATCCAGTTTTTTGAGTGAAAACATAAAAGTCCATTTTTCTCGGAAACGGTAAGAGATAGAGACAAAACAAGCGAAATCTGTGATCACTTTTATTTCCCACCAAAATCCAGTTTTTTGAGTGAAAACATAAAAGTCCATTTTTCTCGGAAACGGTAAGAGATAGAGACAAAACAAGCGAAATCTGTGATCACTTTTATTTCCCACCAAAATCCAGTTTTTTGAGTGAAAGCATAAAAGTCAATTTTTCTTGGAAACGGTAAGAGATAGAGACAAAACAAGCGAAATCTGTGATCAATTTTATTTCCCACTAAAATCCAGTTTTTTGAGTAAAAATCCAATTTTTTAAGTGAAAACATAAAAGTCCATTTTTCTTGGAAGCGGTAAGAGATAGAGACAAAACAAGCGAAATCTGTGATCACTTTTATTTCCCACCAAAATCCAGTTTTTTGAGTGAAAACATAAAAGAAAATTTTTCTCGGAAACGGTAAGAGATACAGACGAAACAAGCGAAATCTGTGATCACTTTTATTTCCCATCAAAAGCTAGTTTTTTGAGTGAAAACATAAAAGCCCATTTTTCTCGGCAACGGTAAGAGATAGAGACAAAACAAGCGAAATCTGTGATCAATTTTATTTCCCACCAAAATCCAGATTTTTGAGTAAAAATCCAATTTTTTAAGTGAAAACATAAAAGTCCATTTTTCTCGGAAACGGTAAGAGATAGAGACAAAACAAGCGAAAACTGTAATCACTTTTTTTTTCCTATCAAAATCCTATTTTTTTTTATTGAAAATTCTATTTTATGACTGAAAACATAAAAGTCCATTTTTCTCGGAAACGAGTTAGAGAAAAAAATATAAGCTTGCTTCCCTTTCAATTTACTAGTTATTATTCTCTATAAAATAAAACTCCATAGTTTGTTGTAATAAAAAAGAAGCGATTCATCTCCTTCTTTTAGTTATAGGAACAACTAATTGTATTATTAAAACCATTTAACTAAGGAATATTACATTAAAATACTATCAAGTATGTTTTTCTTGTTACAGTTTCGTTTTTTTTTTTTACCCCAGTCACTCTATTGCTATCAAAGCCAGACCGGGATAATAGTATTATATATCACACGTTCTTTCTTTGAAAAAATAAAATAAAAAAATATATAAGGTACACATCAACATCACATCATTATAATAATGTATCACGTTGTTAAATGTCCTCCAGCAGCAGCAATATTTCTAGCACCAATTGTTATACCTTCAGGGCGAGACCAGCTTTGCTCTTCAGCCCTGCTGAAGATGAGATAAATGAGATTTCCACCAATATTTAAACCACCAGCCAACCAAAATACTTTACGCCATTGCGTTAATGTCTCATTATGATTGATTATAGTGCCAATGATGTAAGGAGCCAAAAATCCACAAATGTTGGCTGCCGAATTAGTTATGCCATACATAGTGCCGGCATATTGCGGACTCAAGGATATGTGATTCATTTGATTGCCAGCATAAACGGCACCAGCAAATGAGCCGACACCGGCCAGCATAAAGGTGACCCACTGCCAACTGCAGCCCACATAACCCACACCAATTAAGGCCAACGAGGGTATAATGGAAGAGACAGAATTCCAAAATTTATAGGAATTCAAAGTAGTAATATAACGTTTCTCCAGCAGCCAATCAGCCAAAGCAGAGCAACCAATACCCACCAGCCAGGAAGTCAAATAGGGAATAGCATTGAGTACAGCATTGGATTGTATATCAAAGTGTAAAACATTGCTCATATAAGTGGGCAGTTCGGTAAGTTGGGTGTAAAAAGCCCAACTTTGTCCGCACTGGGTTATCAATATTGCCCATAGAGGTATTGAGGTCATAATCGAGCACCAGGGTATGCGGTTATGTTCTGCCGCCGTTCTCTCCATTCTATAGTCATCATCGTTGTCATTAACATTATGGAAGGCTGTCGCCAAACGATTACTGCTGGATTGTTGCGACAAACGAATGCTCCTCTCTATATACAGTCTTTCTTTACGACTTATGCGAGGATGCATTGAAGGTTTATCGTAGACCAAAAACATCCAAAATATAAACCATATTATGCCCACTATGCCAAATAGATAGAAGGCCAATGGCCAACCACCCATAAAATCCAAAGAGCACAGCCATCCCGTTAAAGGCATAGAGATAACAGTACCAATATTGGAGCCCGCATAAACAACAGCTGCAAATTTGTTACGCTCCAAAGGGGGAATCCAATGAGCCAACATAGCATGCATGGCCGGGTAGGTAACACCCTCTCCCATGCCCTCTAAAACACGTACCATAATTAAAAACGGCAAATTCCAATAGGCAGCTATGGGTGTTAGTAAAGTAAAGAGAGCGGTAATTAGTACACCATAGCCGTAGATCAATTTGCCTCCTATCAGTTCAGCCATACGTCCACCAGGGACTTGCGTCAAAACGTAGCCATAGAAAAAGGAGCCCAACACCAGGCCTTGAGTCTCCTCGTCCCACACAAATTCACCTTGAGGTAGTAGAGATGTTTTATTTCTCATAACATCATCCATGGGACAAGTATCGTCCATTATTATATCAGAGGAGTTGTTGCTGTTGTCGTTGTCATGAGGTATGGCCGTTTGATTGACCATGGCTACTATGGCCACTGAGAGATTAACACGCATAGCATAGACTACAGCAAAACCAAAGAAACCCATTAGTCCGAAGATTGTGCGAGTATTGATACAGTCATCGCCATCATTATCTATGTTTAAAGATTTTATATAAGTTTCAGTTTTTTTGTTTGTTTTTGTACATAAGATTTTTTTGTTGTTGTTTTTAAAATGATAGCAGTAGTATTGTCCAGATTATAATCTATACTCCAGACTATGAGCTAGACTATAGTAAAGACTATAAACTAAACTTTAGTCCAGACTATAGAGTATACTATAATCCAGACAGAGTAAACTATAGCCCAGACTATAGACTAAACTATAGTCAAGACTATAGACTAAACTATAGTCCAGACTATAGTCAAGACTGTAGAGTAAAGTATATACTATAATCCAGACTATAGACTAGACTCTAGTCAGGACTATAGCCCAGACTATGGACTAGAGTCTAAAGTCTAGACTATAGTCCAGACTATTGGCTGGACTCTAGATTAAACTCCATTGCAGACTATAGTCTAAATTATAGTCCAGACTAGACTGTAGTCCAGACTTTAGACTTAACTATAGACTAGATTATAGTCCAGAGTATAAAATAAGCTATAGTCCAGACTATAGACTATAGAAAGTATGTATATTCATGAATATAGACTATTGTCAAAACTTTAGACTAAACTAATTAGTATAGCCCAGACTACGGACTAGATTATAGTCTATTCTTTAGGCTCGGAAAGTCTAAACTGTAGCCCAGACTACAGACTAAACTTTAGTTCAGACTATAGACTAAACTATAGTCCAGACTGGATACTAAACTATAGTCCAGATTATTGACTAAATTTATTATAGACTAAATTCCAGACTGTAGACTGGACTAGACTGAATATAACCAGACTTTAGACTAAACTATAGTCCAGAATATAGACTAAATTGTAGTGCAGACTTTAGACTAACCTATAGTCCAAATATAGACTATAAACTATAGTATAGTCCAGACTATAGATTACACTAATGTCTAATGTAGACATTATAGAAGAAAGAGCCAAATTTTGTGATTTAATTCTTTTACGTTACTGATCTTTTAGTATTATGTAGTTAAAACGTTAAAAGTTTGTTTTAAAAAGCCAATCCAAACCATTCTCGTAAAGATGTACACAACTTCAACAATGAAAGAGCTCAAAACATATTGCAAAATTACTCTCTTTGCGCTCATTAATTTTTAACACATTTTTAAGTTCATTTTTTAATATTTTTACGTCATTTCTGTTTTAATAATAAGAAGTGGCTTTAAAAAAGGTCTGTTATAAAAATACAATAGAAGTTTTTCACACATTTAAAATTAGTTTAACTGTTTTGTATTTGTTGGTTTGCTATCTATCCCTTTAACTTTAGAACAAACTGTAGAAGTTCTGCAGACAATCATATAAATATTAACAAAAAAAAAAAGAAACCAATTAATAACGAAGGTAACATACACAAGTTAAGTTCATTGTTTATGAATCATTCCAAGATAAATTTTGTTAAATACTTTCACAAAAAAACTGTAACACACAGTTACAAAAGCAAATACTTATGTTTGTAAACAAAAAAGGTTTTGTAATTGTTTACCACTGCTATTATTTCAACAACAACTGTAAAAACAAATTACGTTGTAGGTAGTAGCTGCTTACCCTGATTATTGGTAATTAAAGTGCGAGTATCCAATAAACCATCACCCTCATATAAACCATCCTCTTCCTCATCTTCGTCTTCATCCACAAAACGGGAATCTTTGCCAGCGGCCATTATTTCTCTTTGAAATTGTATACGTTCCTCATCGTGGAAATCATTGACATACATTCTACTATGTTCTTGTTCTCCATGGTTATGGGTGAAATCGTGTTGTGTGGCCTGAACATCTGGTTCCCATATGTCTGTTACAACTGCTGCTCTTTCTGCTTCTGCTGCTTTTACACTATTTTGTTTTGATGACATTTTTCTTATTCCTAAAGTTGAGCATTTCCTTTTATTTCCTTTTTTGGTTTTAAAAAATTATTTTTCTTTCGTTTGCTCTTTGTGGTCGATTCTATTGTTTATTTGTTTTATAAACACTTTTCTTTAAATTTATTATTAAAACTCCTTAGTTCCTTTAAACACTTTTAAAATAAAAATACATTTTTGTAAATGAAGTATGAAGTAGTATTATTAAGCAGCAGCAATTATGTATAACGTTGTATTAAATAGAACGAACGAACGAATGTCTTAACATTTAAAGTGATTGTTTAGAAATAAAGTACAAATTAAAAATAATATATATTTTACTGTACAAATGAACACACAACTTTGGAGAGCAAAAAATCAACAACGAAACGTAACAGAGCAACCAACAGCAGCAACTAAATAAAATTCCCATTAGAAACCTGAGAAAGCCACGACACAATTTTTCTGTTTTGTTATTAATGTTGAAAAATCTAACAAAATGTTATAGTTTTTTCTTACTCTTTCCAGCAAACTGTATGGAGAAGGGTATTACAAACGAAGAGAAGAGCAGAACAGGTACCAGTGTTTGTTGTTAGATTAGACAAAAGGTCAGGGGGGAGGTGGAGAGTGAGTGACTGCTAGATTTTGGTGGTGGCAAAAAGTCATGAGCAAAACAAAATATACACAAATGCAAACAACTAAGAGCGTTATAATCGGCAGTGCGGAATCATTAATAACCACCATAAAATGATACAAAGTACTGACCTAATATCGGTCTAGTCTAACCAATATCGGTCTATATAGACTAGTCTAGTCTATAGTCTAGTCTATAGTCTAGTCTATAGTCTAGTCTATAGTCTAGTCTATAGTCTAGTCTATAGTCTAGTCTATAGTCTAGTCTATAGTCTAGTCCATAGTCTAGTCTATAGTCTAGTCTATAGTCTAGTCTATAGTCTAGTCTATAGTCTAGTCTATAGTCTAGTCTATAGTCTAGTCTATAGTCTAGTCTATAGTCTAGTCTATAGCCTAGTCTATAGTCTAGTCTATAGTCTAGTCTAGTCTATAGTCCAGTCTAGTCTAGTCTATAGTCTAGTCTAGTCTAGTCTATAGTCTAGTCTAGTCTAGTCTAGTCTAGTCTAGTCTAGTCTAGTCCTATAGTCTAGTCTATAGTCTAGTAGTCTATAGTCTAGTCTAGTCTATAGTCTAGTCTAGTCTAGTCTAGTCTATAGTCTAGTCTAGTCTATAGTCTAGTCTAGTCTAGTCTAGTCTAGTCTAGTCTAGTCTATAGTCTAGTCTAGTCTAGTCTAGTCTGTCTATAGTCTAGTCTAGTCTAGTCTAGTCTATAGTCTAGTCTAGTCTATAGTCTAGGTCTAGTCTATAGTCTAGTCTAGTCTAGTCTATGTCTAGTCTAGTCTAGTTATAGTTCTAGTCTAGTCTATAGTCTAGTCTATAGTCTAGTCTATAGTCTAGTCTATAGTCTAGTCTATGTCTATCTAGTCTAGTCTATAGTCTAAGTCTATAGTCTAGTCTAGTAGTCTAGTCTATAGTCTAGTCTATAGTCTAGTCTATAGTCTAGTCTATAGTCTAGTCTATAGTCTAGTCTATAGTCTAGTCTATAGTCTAGTCTATAGTCTAGTCTATAGTCTAGTCTATAGTCTAGTCTATAGTCTAGTCTATAGTCTAGTCTATGTCTAGTCTATAGTCTAGTCTATAGTCTAGTCTATAGTCTAGTCTATAGTCTAGTCTATAGTCTAGTCTATAGTCTAGTCTATAGTCTAGTCTATAGTCTATTCTATAGTCTAGTCTATAGTAGTCTATAGTCTAGTCTATAGTCTAGTCTATAGTCTAGTCTATAGTCTAGTCTATAGTCTAGTCTATAGTCTAGTCTATAGTCTAGTCTATAGTCTAGTCTATAGTCTAGTCTATAGTCTAGTCTATAGTCTAGTCTATAGTCTAGTCTATAGTCTAGTCTATAGTCTAGTCTATAGTCTAGTCTATAGTCTAGTCTATAGTCTAGTCTATAGTCTAGTCTATAGTCTAGTCTATAGTCTAGTCTATAGTCTAGTCTATAGTCTAGTCTATAGTCTAGTCTATAGTCTAGTCTATAGTCTAGTCTATAGTCTAGTCTATAGTCTAGTCTAAGTCTAGTCTATAGTCTAGTCTATAGTCTAGTCTATAGTCTAGTCTATAGTCTAGTCTATAGTCTAGTCTATAGTCTAGTCTATAGTCCAGTCTATAGTCCAGTCTATAGTCTAGTCTATAGTCTAGTCTATAGTCCAGTCTATAGTCTAGTCTATAGTCTAGTCTATAGTCCAGTCTATAGTCCAGTCTATAGTCTAGTCTATAGTCTAGTCTATAGTCCAGTCTATAGTCTAGTCTATAGTCTAGTCTATAGTTCAGTCTATAGTCTAGTCTATAGTCTAGTCTATAGTCGAGTCTATAGTCTAGTCTATAGTCTAGTCTATAGTCTAGTCTATAGTCTAGTCTATAGTCTAGTCTATAGTCTAGTCTATAGTCTAGTCTATAGTCTAGTCTATAGTCTAGTCTATAGTCTAGTCTATAGTCTAGTCTATAGTCTATAGTCTATAGTCTAGTCTAGTCTAGTCTATAGTCTAGTCTAGTCTATAGTCTAGTCTAGTCTATAGTCTAGTCTAGTCTAGTCTATAGTCTAGTCTAGTCTATAGTCTAGTCTAGTCTATAGTCTAGTCTATAGTCTAGTCTAGTCTATAGTCTAGTCTAGTCTATAGTCTAGTCTAGTCTAGTCTAGTCTAGTCTAGTCTAGTCTAGTCTAGTCTATAGTCTAGTCTAGTCTAGTCTAGTCTAGTCTAGTCTAGTCTATAGTCTAGTCTAGTCTAGTCTATAGTCTAGTCTAGTCTATAGTCTAGTCTAGTCTAGTCTATAGTCTATAGTCTATAGTCTATAGTCTATAGTCTATAGTCTAGTCTAGTCTAGTCTATAGTCTAGTCTAGTCTATAGTCTAGTCTATAGTCTAGTCTATAGTCTAGTCTATAGTCTAGTCTATAGTCTAGTCTATAGTCTAGTCTATAGTCTAGTCTATAGTCTAGTCTATAGTCTAGTCTATAGTCTAGTCTATAGTCTAGTCTATAGTCTAGTCTATAGTCTAGTCTATAGTCTAGTCTATAGTCTAGTCTATAGTCTAGTCTATAGTCTAGTCTATAGTCTAGTCTATAGTCTAGTCTATAGTCTAGTCTATAGTCTAGTCTATAGTCTAGTCTATAGTCTAGTCTAGTCTAGTCTATAGTCTAGTCTATAGTCTAGTCTATAGTCTAGTCTATAGTCTAGTCTATAGTCTAGTCTATAGTCTAGTCTATAGTCTAGTCTATAGTCTAGTCTATAGTCTAGTCTATAGTCTAGTCTATAGTCTAGTCTATAGTCTAGTCTATAGTCTAGTCTATAGTCTAGTCTATAGTCTAGTCTATAGTCTAGTCTATAGTCTAGTCTATAGTCTAGTCTATAGTCTAGTCTATAGTCTAGTCTATAGTCTAGTCTATAGTCTAGTCTATAGTCTAGTCTATAGTCTAGTCTATAGTCTAGTCTATAGTCTAGTCTATAGTCTAGTCTATAGTCTAGTCTATAGTCTAGTCTATAGTCTAGTCTATAGTCTAGTCTATAGTCTAGTCTATAGTCTAGTCTATAGTCTAGTCTATAGTCTAGTCTATAGTCTAGTCTATAGTCTAGTCTATACTATAGTCTAGTCTAGTCTAGTCTATAGTCTAGTCTATAGTCCTAGTCTATAGTCTAGTCTATAGTCTAGTCTATAGTCTAGTCTATAGTCTAGTCTATAGTCTAGTCTATAGTCTAGTCTATAGTCTAGTCTATAGTCTAGTCTATAGTCTAGTCTATAGTCTAGTCTATAGTCTAGTCTATAGTCTAGTCTATAGTCTAGTCTATAGTCTAGTCTATAGTCTAGTCTATAGTCTAGTCTATAGTCCAGTCTATAGTCCAGTCTATAGTCCTAGTCTATAGTCTAGTCTATAGTCTAGTCTATAGTCTAGTCTATAGTCTAGTCTATAGTCTAGTCTGGACTATAGCTTTATAGTCTTGGTTAGTCTACACCCTTAACATTAGTCTGGGATATAGTGGTGAACTATACTCTACGCTAACGTCTAGTCTATAGTCTACACTACAGTATGGACCATAACCTAGTTTTATTTATAGTCTTGCCTATAATCTAGACTGTAGTCTAGTCTATTATCTGTACTATAACATGGTCTAATGGTCTGAACTTTTGTCTAAGACTAATAAGGATCCATACATTCGTAGATCTACGTCATTTCTTTGTGTTACAAACGGGTTACCATAGTCAATACACTTCCCAATTTATTTCGATGGTGGGTATAAAAACAATAGTGTATTTTATTGTTATGAGGAAATAAATATGCATTAAAAAACAAATAATGACTAAGTAAAATGTTTGAACTTTTAATGCAGTTTATTGAAATATTAAATCTTAAAAACTGGCTTGAAAACCAGATTTATAAAAATATTTTTTAACAATTATTTTAAATATCACAATAACTTTCCATTTCATATAATTTATTTAAAAATAATAATGATAATAATTCTAATTTTGTTCAAAAAATAAGTTACAGAGTGGGGTTAATGACATTGTTTACTAATCTATAAAAGGTGAAGTGAATGTGAAACCGACAAATTCAAACAAATTCCATATTTCTCAAAAGAAACACTTCTTGTAAAACTCTATTCAAAGACAGTTTTGGATTAAGAGAAATAGAACAATTTTTATACATTATTTGCTTAGAGATGAGAGTAAGATGAGAAAAACATTATAAATCTTTGTTTAAGATGTTAAAAATATGAATTTAACATGAATTCTAACACGTTTTAAATTTATACGCCTACAAATATAATTATAATTTTATATTGTTGTTTATTTTAAACAATAGTATGTAGTCACATTTAAGATAAACAATAAATAATTCCCCGACTTTAAAAAATACAGTTGCAAATTTTATTTTTTATCACATTTTAAAAACAACGTTTACAAGTAAGTATTGTTTATAGAATATTGTCGTGGTGAAAAAATACCTATTGATAATGTTATTCTCTTCCGTAAGAGATTGGTTAAATTAAAGTACTCTGTAGAAATGGGATCTCATACATCTTCATATATATTAAATATTATTTTATTTATTTTTCAATTTTAATTAAAAAAAATCCTTTCTTTAAATTATTAACTTTTTATTGACTTTATAAGTTTAGTTAGTTACGTTTATTCACAGTATAAAAGGAAGACATTTTTTAATAAAATTTCTTATACAATTTACAATTTAAATCTCAACATAGTTAACATTAATTAACCTTTACTCAATTAGCGAAGATACTGCCAATGGGGAATACAATACACTTTTGTATACCGTCATGTTGTAAAGTTTCATAATGATAGGATTTATCCAAACTCACATAATTTTTACCCTGAGTAACATTATCAGCCAAACCGGTCAAAGGCACTTGATAACAATTGATAAAATAGTTTTCCGACTTAAGAGCTGCAACCAATTCATAAGCATAACTATGATTTTCATGCCAAATGGAGACTGAATTAAATTTAAATGATTCCTTATTAACCAAAGCAATAGCTTCTTTAGCGGTGCGGAAAGTGTGGAAAGTAACTATTCCTGAGGGTGTAGTAGAGCCCAATTGTTCATGGGTGAAATCACATACTAACGTGGGTGCATAAACATTAGCTTCCTTTTGAGCAATAGTTATAAGTTGGGCACTTAATTTGTGGGCAGTACTTAAGGCTTTAATGAAATGTTCATTATTATTTACTGCTTCCTTTGGATAGGGTTTAAGTTGTTGTTTTAGTTTCTCCACAAAATCATTTTTAATTGATTCTTGCACTAAAACAGTGGCAATAGCTTTAGTTGCGAAAGGATTTTCCAAGGATTTGCTTAAATGGTAAAGAGCAGCATTTATATCACTATTGGCGAACACTATTAACACGGAGGGTTGTGGGCTGGATGTACCTTTATTAGTTTCAGTTGCTTTGGTTGCCTAATTTTATTGTTTTGATAACGAAAATTGAGGTTAGTTTTAGTAATTTGTAAATATTTTTCTTAAAAACTTACAGCAGAGGCATTAAAATCCATCTTGTTAAATAATTCTTGAGTAACTAGCGCTGTAGACATAGTTTTTTAATAATAATGAGGAAAACGGAAAAGTTTTAAATGCAATTTTTAGGAATTTTATAAAAATTGTTATCACAAAAGGTAAATAATAAAATTAAACAGCTAATGAGTTGCCAAGTTTAAAATATTTAACAAAAAATAGGGATTTTTTAAGTTTTTGGAAATTTTAGAAACAACTTGCTATTTAAACTATAAATTTTTTTAAATAAACAGTAAATTATAAATATGAACTAGAGTTCAGGCGTTTAATAACAACCTTAAATGGTTTATTTTCCTTATTATTTTAATTTTCCAGAAATTTTTAATTCTTTTTTTAAATATGTAAAAAAACACCAGCTGATGTCATGAACACTGCCATCTTAAAATGTAAACAAAAGAACCACCAAGCTGATAAACGAGTAAGCCTAAACGCCGTCAAATTCCTTTATGATATTGTCATAAATTATTTTTTAAAAACTAATTGCAAAAAGAAGTCAACTTTTATTTATTTTTATAGACAATTTCTTATAAATGTACCATTTTAAACAGCTATTTTTATTTAAATATACAATTTAATAGAACTTATTTATAATACCGCCACTCATAAGCCCAATCAAACGACGTTGGTAAACTTCATTGACGCCGTTCTTTTATTCACAACACAAATTAAAATTCATGCACTTTTTCATTTAATGATTTTTTAAACTTTATACAACTAGCTTACCTTTGATTTTTATAATTTTCAATAGATAACACTTGTAATTCACTATTTATATCTTTACTATAATTTTAATCACTTTATTTCCATATTTATTTAATAAATAATTACTATCTTTTCTGACCAACATATTTAGCGCCATTACACGAATTACACTGACATTTATAAGACAACTCTGTAACAAGATGATTTGGTGTTACCAGACAGATTTTACATAAACTAACGTTACAATATTGGTATTTGAAAACAGTACAGAAAACCGAATGTTTCGTGAAAGGAACAGAATTTGAGAGCAAGTCGTAGCAATATTAAATGCTGATTTGGTACGTACGTGCAAATATGTATTTAATTTAATTTTTCTTTATGCTAGAAATTATCTGCCAGTTTAGGGACTTATGTTCAGACGCAGAAAATTATTTTATGCAGAATGGCATACTTTAAGGTGAGTATAGGGCCAATATTTTGGGTTTTACAAACATCACCACAAACCCAATACACCCTCCCAATGTAGGGTATAAAAGAATATTGTTAGATTCTGTGTTAAAAGTACTATACAATGAAAAAATTGGAACCGTTTAGATTCGTTAAGAAAGTCGACATTTCCAACTTCGATTTTTCCACTATTATTTACAATGTCAATTATTCGACTATATATTTTCTTAAAAGATTCATTAAATTTATCGAAATTTTTAGGACAAAATAGTCGATCTTTTAGAACAAATAGTCGATTAATAGAACAGGAACTATTAGAGCCCTGAAAACCCTGCACATTAAAGAAACTAACATGGCAACACTGCTAACATAAACTTATAAAAGTTTGGCTTATAACAGTTTTATTGCTAATGTTGCCACATGATAAAAATAAAAAAACAGCTTAATTTTATTTCCTGTTTACATTTTCCACTAGGCACTGTCACATGTTTGCAGAGTTCTAAACAATATTGGAGGGAGATTATAAGAAAATACTCTTGATACAATGCTAATGCTCTTCTTTTGAATACTACTTCATACCCCTCAGCATGACAATCCCTCTCAAACTTTATTTGTTTGATGACTTAAGAAAGAATGATAGCAAACACACAAACTTCTTATAATTATTTATGTATATTTAATTGTGATTACGACATTTGTGTTTCACTTTCTTGCGTTTCGCTGAGTGTATTTACTTGTGTTTACTTAATTTAGTCAGTTCAATTCAAAAACGGTTCACTTTAGTTTAGTTCTCATTTAACGGCCTACCAACAAGTGTGTGTTTTTTTATTGTTAGCTCTTCAGCTATTTACTTGAAATTTCACAGAGTAAATCGGTATTTTGAACGTATTTTCAATTGATGTGCATTTAATTCTTGAGGAAATAATAAAAAAAAAGCTGAAAAATAATAATTAAGTACAAATTTCAACATATTGTGCAAATTTATTAGTAATTTGTTGTTAATTGTTTGAGGCTTTAGTTGAAAATAAAAGAAGAGAGAAAATTGTAAAAAAATCTAAAAAATTTTTGCAAAAATAACAACCAGCTGTTAGTTACAAAACAAAAATTTAGGTTGTTGGTGATATTTAGAAGCAACGAGAGAATAATTTCGTAAAAAAGTATAAAAAAATAACATCATCACTTAAAGTAGTAGTGGTTTAAAAACAAAAACAACAAATTTAAATTTAAAACAAAAACACCAGTTGTTGTTGTTGTTTATCTTTTTAATATGACAATCATGGAGAGTATCAACGAATTAATGGGATCTCCCGCTGTGCGCATTAAGGTAAATTTTAATTATTTTAAAATGTTGAAAACTTCTTTTTATAGATTTTGCTAAAAATACATACATATATATGTACATAAGTATTTACTCTGTATCGCAATACGGGGCGTTTTTAATTGAAACATTTTATTGTATTAATCAGTCATAATAAACAATTAGTCAGCTTGCACGATAGATCATTCAGTCAGTCATAATCTGCCTCTCCCCTCTTAATCACTCTCTTATTTTTCGTGCACTTGTTTGTTTTTTTGCATTGTTTTCGTTTATTATTATTTTTATGGCAGTGTCAGTGCCCAATTTGAAATTTACAACTTGCAATTGCAGTTACTATTTTTGAATTTGATTTGACCTCTTTTTGTTAAATTTGGGGGGGGGGGGGGTTGTTTAAAAATCTGTTTGTGTGTTTGTTCATTTTAGTTACACCACCGCCACATGCCATTTCCGATGGCGTTTTGAATTTGAATTTGTGTTCTTTAATTTAAATCATTTTTTTATTCGCTAGTTTGCGCTAAATATTTTATTTCTGGGAAATTTTGTCTGTTGTCCAAATGTCTAGATTCGCATGTGTTGTTGTTTCGTTAGAAAATTTAAAAATTTATTTTCAATTTAAAATTTTGTTAAAAATAAATACATGGTTTTGTATTTGTTCTAAAGTAAAGGAATTTTATATGTTTTCAACGCAAACAAGTTTGTTTTTTATTTTAACAAATTTGGTTTAAAAATCCATAAATCATTTGGAAATCTGTTGTCGTTACTTTGTCGCGATCAATTTAGCAATTTTCTTGTCTGGAAATTGAGAAATTTTGGAAGTAGATACATATACATACATACATATTGTTGATTTGAAAGAAGATTATTTTAATCTTGTCAATTTAGCGAAGTAAGGGCAGGAATGTACTAGTTCTAAAATCTCAAAAATGCAATCAATAATCGAAATGCTGTTTTACTTAGAAGATGTTCATACTAAACAATTTTTTTTTCGATTCCAAAAATAAATCACATATTCCTTGTTTATTATAACGAACAATCTATGAATTCTAATTAATAAATAGCAAAAACTTGTTTTATAATTGATTACTATTGTCTTTAAATTAAGTAATATATTTAAATATTTATTTAAGAACTGAATTTTAAGAAGCAGTTTTTGATTTTCTATCTATGATAAACTGTTGCAAACAATGCTTCTGAATTATTACTGAATGTAACCAATTCCGGATTAGTATGAAACCATGTTCAGTTCGAGGTCAGTGCTAGTTCCGTTCTAGTTCAGTTCAGTTCTAGTTCAGTTCTAGTTCAGTTCTAGTTCAGTTCTAGTTCAGTTCTAGTTCAGTTCTAGTTCAGTTCTAGTTCAGTTCTACTTCAGTTCTAGTTAAGTTCTAGTTAGTTCTAGTTCAGTTCTAGTTCAGTTCTAGTTCAGTTCTAGTTCAGTTCTAGTTCAGTTCTAGTTCAGTTCTAGTTCAGTTCTAGTTCAGTTCTAGTTCAGTTCTAGTTCAGTTCTAGTTCAGTTCTAGTTCAGTTCTAGTTCAGTTCTAGTTCAGTTCTAGTTCAGTTCTAGTTCAGTTCAGTTCTAGTTCAGTTCTAGTTCAGTTCTAGTTCAGTTCTTGTTCAGTTCTAGTTCAGATCTAGTTCAGTTCTAGTTCAGTTCTAGTTCAGTTCTAGTTCAGTTCTAGTTCAGTTCTAGTTCAGTTCTAGTTCAGTTCTAGTTCAGTTCTAGTTCAGTTCTAGTTCAGTTCTAGTTCAGTTCTAGTTCAGTTCTAGTTCAGTTCTAGTTCAGTTCTAGTTCAGTTCTAGTTCAGTTCTAGTTCAGTTCTAGTTCAGTTCTAGTTCAGTTCTAGTTCAGTTCTAGTTCAGTTCTAGTTCAGTTCTAGTTCAGTTCTAGTTCAGTTCTAGTTCAGTTCTAGTTCAGTTCTAGTTCAGTTCTAGTTCAGTTCTAGTTCAGTTCTAGTTCAGTTCTAGTTCAGTTCTAGTTCAGTTCTAGTTCAGTTCTAGTTCAGTTCTAGTTCAGTTCTAGTTCAGTTCTAGTTCAGTTCTAGTTCAGTTCTAGTTCAGTTCTAGTTCAGTTCTAGTTCAGTTAGTCAGTTTATCAGTTCTCGTTCAGTTTCAGTTCAGTTCTAGGTTCAGTTCTAGTTCAGTTCTAGTTCAGTTCTAGTTCAGTTTAGTTCAGGTTAGTTCAGTTCAGTTCAGTCTAGTTCAGTTCTAGTTTCCGTTCGTAGTTCAGTTCTAGTTCAGTTCTAGATTCAGTTCTAGTTCAGTTCTAGTTTCAGTTCTAGTTCAGTTCTAGTTCCGTTCTAGTTCAGTTCTAGTTCAGTTCTAGTTCTAGTTCTAGTTCTAGTTCAGTTCTAGTTCAGTTCTAGTTCAGTTCTAGTTCAGTTTAGTTCAGTTCTAGTTCAGTTCTAGTTCATTCTGTTCATTCTAGTTCAGTTCTCGTTCAGTTCTAGTTCAGTTCTAGTTCAGTTCTAGTTCAGTTCTCGTTCAGGTTCTAGTCAGTTTCTAGTCATTTCTAGTTCAGTTTCTAGTTCAGTTTCTGTTCAGTTCCTAGTTTCATTCTAGTTCAGTTCTAGTTCAGTTCTAGTTCAGTTCTAGTTCAGTTCTAGTTCAGTTCTAGTTCAGTTCTAGTTCAGTTTAGTTCAGTTCTAGTTCAGTTTAGTTCAGTTCTAGTTCAGTACTAGTTTCAGTTCCTAGTTTCAGTTCTAGTTCAGTTCTAGTTCAAGTTCTAGTTCAGTTCTAGTCAGTCATTAGTTCAGTTCTAGTTCCGGTTCAGTTCAGTTCTAGTTCATATTCTTTCAGTTCTAGTTCAGTCTATCATCTAGTCCGGTCGGTTAGTTTGTTTTTTACAGATACATTTGGCAGGCATTTTAAACATTTTATGTGGGTCTGGTAAGAGGTCACTAATATTTCTCACACAAAATAAAAAGTATCAAATTTTTAAATACTTGTTGGTTTTAAAATAATGTTAAAAATTTGAATGTCAACTCCTACAGAATTTGAGTTTCAATGTCACAACCAAATAAAATTGAGGGAAGAGTCACAGATAGCCGTTATATGTATGTATAAGATTTGAGTTGGTGAAATTGATTTTTTTGAGTTGATGAAATGGAAAATTTTATTATAAAACTTTATATGTATGTATTATTATTTTACTATAGTTCAAATAGTTCCAATTATAGTTATAATTATACACAAATAATTTGCCGGGAAAAACTTTATAACTTTTATAAAATTAAATAAATAAGATTTATAGCGATTTCTTATGTATTTGAACAATTATATTTGTGTGAAAATAATAATATAATCCATCACCATTGTAATTGGATCAAATCGTATTTACGCCTTTCTTTTTAACAAAAATATTTTGTTTTCCATCTTTCACTCAAATGTGTGGGATGTTTCGTAAAAATATATATATGGACAAAAGATACGGGTTCATCAACCATAATACATATTTTTCAAATTATTTCTTAACTTCTTATACATATTTATTTGTATTTGCTTTATTTTATTTTAATTTTATTTAATAATAAACTTTTTCTTATCTTATCCGTAGAATACTTTTAAATAGAATATTTTATCCAATGACAAAATTGTTTATTAAATTTAGTTAGCGTGTTTAAAGAAATTGTTTAGATATTAAGTCGACTAATTCTCATAAATGTCGCATAAAACATCATTAGTAAATCGCAAGATATTGAAAGAATCTATTTAAGAAATTCCACCTAATAGTATAGGGTTTTAAAAATCATAATCAATTCACGGAATTACAACGGTTTCGCTTTGGAAATGATGAGATAGCTTGTTAAATTCAGGTTCTGTTCTAGTTCTGTTCTGTTTTACTTCTAGTTCTGTTCTGTTCTAGTTCTGTTCTAGTTCTGTTCTAGTTCTGTTCTAGTTCTGTTCTAGTTCTGTTCTAGTTCTGTTCTAGTTCTGTTCTAGTTCTGTTCTAGTTCTGTTCTAGTTCTGTTCTAGTTCTGTTCTAGTTCTGTTCTAGTTCTAGTTCTGTTCTAGTTCTGTTCCAGTTCTGTTCTAGTTCTGTTCTAGTTCTGTTCTAGTTCTGTTCTAGTTCTGTTCTAGTTCTGTTCTAGTTCTGTTCTAGTTCTGTTCTAGTTCTGTTCTAGTTCTGTTCTAGTTCTGTTCTAGTTCTGTTCTAGTTCTGTTCTAGTTCTGTTCTAGTTCTGTTCTAGTTCTGTTCTAGTTCTGTTCTAGTTCTGTTCTAGTTCTGTTCTAGTTCTGTTCTAGTTCTGTTCTAGTTCTAGTTCTGTTCTAGTTCTGTTCTAGTTCTGTTCTAGTTCTGTTCTAGTTCTGTTCTAGTTCTGTTCTAGTTCTGTTCTAGTTCTGTTCTAGTTCTGTTCTAGTTCTGTTCTAGTTCTGTTCTAGTTCTGTTCTAGTTCTGTTCTAGTTCTGTTCAAGTTCTGTTCTAGTTCTGTTCTAGTTCTGTTCTAGTTCTGTTCTAGTTCTGTTCTGTTCTAGGTCTGTTCTAGGTCTGTTTACTTATGTTCTAGTTCTGTTCTAGTTCTGTTCTAGTTCTGTTCTAGTTCTGTTCTAGTTCTGTTCTAGTTCTGTTCTAGTTCTGTTCTAGTTCTGTTCTAGTTCTGTTCTAGTTCTGTTCCAGTTCTGTTCTAGTTCTGTTCTAGTTCTGTTTTAGTTGTGTTCTAGTTTTGTTCTAGTTCTGTTCTAGTTCTGTTCTAGTTCTGTTCTAGTTCTGCTCTAGTTCTGTTCTAGTTCTGTTCTAGTTCTGTTCTAGTTGTCTTGAAATGGGTTAATGTAAAAGAAGAAAAATAACGATAAATTATGTTCATATTTACTTCCAACCTTTAATTAAACCAAAATGTTATTATGTATTAGAAATACATCTACAAACAAGTTGACAACCACAACATGTTCAACCAAATATGAAAAAATACTTATTCATACATTGAAAAATATAATAGATATTTTCAAATGAATCAAACACACACACAGATACTAAATCAAAATGCATTTAAAACTAAAATCTGTATGTTCCGTCTGTCTGCCACATTTGCTCTCTCAACTGCACTTCAATCCATTCATCTTTTTTCTGCTACTTTTTAAAGATCCCCTGCTTAGTAAGTTTAGATTTCGTCAGTCGGTCTTCAGTTGTAGTGGTTATTGTTATTCTATTGGAGGTATACATATTTCTATGGCTTCCCTGGAGCAACAAAAAAACTAACAAGTATTGAATTCTACTAACTAGTAGTTGGGGTTGACTGGCTGTTTTGCTAACTTTTCCAAGTTATTACTGTTGTAGATGCCCGAGTCAACGACAGAATGTTTGCAATGGACAATCAATTGAAGGTGGTTTGAATTACTTTGATTTAGTATTTAATTAATTATATTATAATTTGGATTTAGTCAAGCATTTATTTTTTATTAATCCTTTTTTATATTATTTCTATTTTCTTTTATTGCAGTTGGTGGCTTTTGTTCACTTTGTTTTCATATCAAATGCCATGCTGGGCTCATGGGGTCATGGAGCCTATGAATTTTATAACTTCCTATTTATAATCTCCATGTTCTGGTGCATGCACAGCAAGGATTCCGTGGATGCGGTTCATGTAGTAAGTAATTATGTTGGGAATTTAAATGAAGTGATATTTTTTAAATGGAAAACAATTATATTTCAATGGTTTCTGTTGCTAATGATCTAGGTACAAAGTACTTAGAAATACTTGCTATATGTGGCAAGTTCATGTAGTTTGTGTCTTTATGTTAAAATTTAATGTGTGTGTCAAGTAAATTAAAGAAGTTCAATAAACTTATTGCTTGTGCTAAGAATGGTGAAGTGTTGAAATACAGAAGTGTTAAATAAAGTAGCAATCTGAATGGAATCTGATTAAACTATTAATAAATATGTATGCATAATAAAAATAATGGTTTCAGTATTGTCTTCAAAACCATTCAGTCACTTACTTAACACTTTCGTATAAGTAACTGATTAAAAATGTTAATTCTCACACTAATGGAGAACAATGGTTTAGTAAGTTAGTTAGTTAGTTTGAAGGTGGATGTACATATATACATCAATACACCTAGGCCTCTATCGGGCCTGTTGTGGAGCTCCTTAACCAGTGTCGAACCCACCACCTCCGGTCTACCAGACTAGAACACTAACCACTAACCAACCGGAGACCACACAATGGTTTAGTTCTAGTTTAGCTCTTGTTCAGTTTTAGATCAGTTCTTGTTTAGTTCTAGTTCAGTTCTAGTTCAGTTCTAGATCAGTTCTAGTTCAGTTCTAGTTCAATTCTAGTTCAATTCTAGTTCAGTTCTAGTTCAGTTCTAGTTCTGTTCTAGTTCAGTTCTAGTTCAGTTTTAGTTCAGTTCTAGTTCAGTTCTAGTTCAGTTCTAGTTCAGTTCTAGTTCAGTTCTAGTTCAGTTCTAGTTCAGTTCTGTTCAGTTCTGTTCAGTTCTAGTCAGTTCTAGTTCAGTCTAGTTCAGTTCAGTTCTAGTTCAGTTCTAGTTTCAGTCATCTAGTTCAGTTTCTAGTTCAGTTCTAGTTCAGTCTAGTCGTTCTAAGTGGTTCAGTTCTAGTTCAGTTCTAGTTCAGTTCTAGTTTCAGTTTCTAGTCCAGTTTCTAGTTCAGTTCTAGTTCAGTATGTTCTATTCTCGTCATTCTAGTGCAGTTCTAGTTCAGTTTCTAGTTGCAGTTCTAGGTTTCAGTTCTAGTTCAGTTCATAGTTCAGTTCTAGTTCCGTTTCTAGTTTCGTTCTAGTTTCAGTTCTAGTTCAGTTCCTAGTTCACGTTCTAATTTCAGTCCTAGTTCAGTTCTAGTTCAGTTCTAGTTCAGTTCTAGTTCAGTTCTAAGTTCAGTCTAAGTTCAGTTCTAGTTCAGGTTTCTAGTTCAGTTCTAGTTCAGGTTCTAGTTCAGTTTCTAGGTCAGTGTCTAGTTTCAGTTCTAGTTCAGTTTCTAGTTCAGTTTCTAGTTCAGTTTCTAGTTCAGTTCTAGTTCAGTTTCTAGGTTCAGGCTTCTAGTTCCAGCTTTCTAGTTCAGTCTAGTTCAGTTCTGAGTCAGTTCTAGTTCAGTTCTAGTTCAGTTCTAGTTTCAGTTCTATGTTCAGTTCTAGTTTCAGTTTCTAGTTCAGTTCTAGTTCAGTTCTAGTTCAGTTTCAGTCAGTTCTAGTTCTAGTTCAGTTCTAGTTCAGTTCTAGTTCAGTTCTAGTTCAGTTCTAGTTCAGTTCTAGTTCAGTTCTAGTTCAGTTCTAGTTCAGTTCTAGTTCAGTTCTAGTTCAGTTCTAGTTCGGTTCTAGTTCAGTTCTAGTTCAGTTCTAGTTCAGTTCTAGTTCAGTTCTAGTTCAGTTCTAGTTCAGTTCTAGTTCAATTCTAGTTCAGTTCTAGTTCAGTTCTAGTTCAGTTCTAGTTCAGTTCTAGTTCAGTTCTAGTTCAGTTCTAGTTCAGTTCTAGTTCAGTTCTAGTTCAGTTCTAGTTCAGTTCTAGTTCAGTTCTAGTTCCGTTCAAGTTCAGTTCTAGTTCCGTTCTAGTTCAGTTCTAGTTCAGTTCTAGTTCAGTTCTAGTTCAGTTCTAGTTCAGTTCTAGTTCAGTTCTAGTTCAGTTCTAGTTCAGTTCTAGTTCAGTTCTAGTTCAGTTCTAGTTCAGTTCTAGTTCAGTTCTAGTTCAGTTCTAGTTCAGTTCTAGTTCAGTTCTAGTTCAGTTCTAGTTCAGTTCTAGTTCAGTTCTAGTTCAGTTCTAGTTCAGTTCTAGTTCTAGTTCAGTTCTAGTTCAGTTCTAGTTCAGTTCTAGTTCAGTTCTAGTTCAGTTCTAGTTCAGTTTTCTTAGTTCAGTTCTAGTTCGGTTCTAGTTCAGTTCTAGTTCAGTTCTAGTTCAGTTCTAGTTCAGTTCTAGTTCAGTTCTAGTTCAGTTCTAGTTCAATTCTAGTTCAGTTCTAGTTCAGTTCTAGTTCAGTTCTAGTTCAGTTCTAGTTCAGTTCTAGTTCAGTTCTAGTTCAGTTCTAGTTCAGTTCTAGTTCAGTTCTAGTTCAGTTCAGTTCTAGTTCCGTTCAAGTTCAGTTCTAGTTCCGTTCTAGTTCAGTTCTAGTTCAGTTCTAGTTCAGTTCTAGTTCAGTTCTAGTTCAGTTCTAGTTCAGTTCTAGTTCAGTTCTAGTTCAGTTCTAGTTCAGTTCTATTCTAGTTCAGTTCTAGTTCAGTTCTAGTTCAGTTCTAGTTCAGTTCTAGTTCAGTTCTAGTTCAGTTCTAGTTCAGTTCTAGTTCAGTTATAGTTCAGTTCTAGTTCAGTTCTAGTTCAGTTCTAGTCAGTTCTAGTTCAGTCTAGTCATTTAGTTCAGTTTTAGTTCAGTTCTAGTTCAGTTCTAGTTCAGTCCAGTTCAGTTCTAGTTCAGTTCCAGTTCAGTTCTAGTTCAGTTCTAGTTCAGTTCTAGTTCAGTTCTAGTTCAGTTCTAGTTCAGTTCTAGTTCAGTTCTAGTTCAGTTCTAGTTCAGTTCTAGTTCAGTTCCAGTTCAGTTCTAGTTCTAGTTCAGTTCTAGTTCAGTTCTAGTTCAGTTCCAGTTCAGTTCTAGTTCAGTTCTAGTTCAGTTCTGGTTCAGCTCTAGTTCAGCTGTAGTTCAGTTCTAGTTCAGTTCTATTCAGTCCATTTAGAAGTCAGTTCTTACATTCATTCCTAGTTATTCATTCAATGATGTAAGAAACAAAATAGCTTTAATGACATGTCGCGCATAACGGATATTCAAATCTATTATTTACAACTTTATTATTCAGACAAACATAGCACACAGTTCATTAGACCATTTCAAGTATTAAATAAGTAAAAACATAAAATAATATATTTGATTTAATAACAAGGACATTAAATAAAATGTTCTTAGAAATTTTCTACTTCTTTCTACACTTCTGGTAGTTTTAATCAAACAAAACTTTTATTTACAAACGCGTCGTGGTCATTTTCAACTTTGACCTTATAAGCGTGTGCTGCTATTTGAAATAAATTAATCATATGCCTCCGCCATTTTATGCCTTTTGGGTTATTTCTTTATAAAGTTTTATTAAAAAAACTGAAACCCATGCCGATGGAGAATACTACTTAAAAATAGCCCCTCTGACCTGAATCATGGTAAACACTAGAGTGTTTTTTTTATTTATTTTACAACTTAAGACGCGAACCAGGCGTTCTAATAAACTAATCCTTAACACTCACTCACGCAATTACAACTATATTTTTTTAACGGCTACCCAGAGGTGGGGTCTTTGTATTTTTTTCTTTTTTTCATTCCTTAAGTGTTTTACACCATTTCATTTCGCAAGAATTATAATTACATTAAAATTAATTGTTTGAATTTATTTATAAATTGTGTAGAGAGCGAGCGATTCAAATGCGTTTTAAGGTTGATTAATTTTATTGTTGTAAATGCAAAGTATTTTTCCACACAGACTATGAGTCAGAATTGTAGATTTATTTTATAGATCTAAAATTAAACATATTTTTAATGAAAATGTGCTTTACTTAAAACGGTGACCTAGTAGCGGGATTAATTTGTTATGAAGGTTTAAATTTAAACTTTAAATAGCAGAAATAAAAATAAAATCTGAACTTAAGAGCTTTAGTCCAGAATCAGATTTGTTGAATATTGAAATTCAGATTTGACATTTAAACGTAAATGGTGTTTGTATAAATTATTATTATTTTTTTACTAATCTTCAAACTTAAAAGGGTAAAAAACACGCAAATTTTAAGAAAAACACTAAATAAAATCGATATAGCATTTCATTAAAATCTACAAGACTAATTTGAATAAAAAGTCTTTTAAATTTTTCGGGAAATACGAAATAAGAAAACATTTATTTGTTAAATTTTTTAAGAGTAAAATATCACGACTTATAACCAAATTAGAACTAAACTAGCTCTGAACTAGAACTGATATGAACAGAACTGGAATTGAACTAGAACTGAACTAGAACTGAACTAGAACTGAACTAGAACTGAACTAGAACTGAACTAGAACTGAACTAGAACTGAACTTGAACTGAACTAGAACTGAACTTGAACTGAACTAGAACTGAACTAGAACTGAACTAGAACTGAACTAGAACTGAACTAGAACTGAACTAGAACTGAACTAGAACTGAACTAGAACTGAACTAGAACTGAACTAGAACTGAACTAGAACTGAACTAGAACTGAACTAGAACTGAACTAGAACTGAACTAGAACTGAACTAGAACTGAACTAGAACTGAACTAGAACTGAACTAGAACTGAACTAGTACTGAACTAGAACTGAACTAGAACTGAACTAGAACTGAACTAGAACTGAACTAGAACTGAACTAGAACTGAACTAGAACTGAACTAGAACTGAACTAGAACTGAACTAGAACTGAACTAGAACTGAACAAGAACTGAACTAGAACTGAACTAGAACTGAACTAGAACTGAACTAGAACTGAACTAGAATTGAACTAGAACTGAACTAGAACTGAACTAGAACTGAACTAGAACTGAACTAGAATTGAACTAGAACTGAACTAGAACTGAACTAGAACTGAACTAGAACTGAACTAGAACTGAACTAGAACTGAACTAGAACTAAACTTGAACAGAACTAGAAGTGAACTAGAACTGAACTAGAACTGAACTAGAACTGAACTAGAACTGAACTAGAACTGAATTAGAACTGAACTAGAACTGAACTAGAACTGAACTAGAACTGAACTAGAACTGAACTAGAACTGAACTAGAACTGAACTAGAACTGAACTAGAACTGAACTAGAACTGAACTAGAACTGAACTAGAACTGAACTAGAACTGAACTAGAACTGAACTAGAACTGAACTAGAACTGAACTAGAACTGAACTAGAACTGAACTAGAACTGAACTAGAACTGAACTAGAACTGAACTAGAACTGAACTAGAACTGAACTAGAACTGAACTAGAACTGAACTAGAACTGAACTAGAACTGAACTAGAACTGAACTAGAACTGAACTAGAACTGAACTAGAACTGAACTAGAACTGAACTAGAACTGAACTAGAACTGAACTAGAACTGAACTTGAACTGAACTAGAACTGAACTTGAACTGAACTAGAACTGAATTAGACTGAACTAGAACTGAATTAGAACTGAACTAGAACTGAACTAGAACTGAACTAGAACTGAACTAGAACTGAACTAGAACTGAACAAGAACTCAACTAGAACTGAACTAGAATTAGAATTGCACAAGAAGTGAACTAGAACTAATTTAGAATTGGATTTGAACTGAACTAGAACTGATCTCCGAGAAGGCAGCGCAACATGAAATATAATAGCTTTTCTATTTCTTTTTTCTTTTCAAATATCAGACCAAAGTATCCGCCATTTGCATTAGTTACAAAATATCTTTCTATATTATTTTAAATAATTAGTACATATTTCTAAGTAATTTGGTTTTTAGTTGCTTTCAATATCTTCAATATGCAAAATATTTAAAAAAAGTCACATATAAACTAACACATTCGCAAATAAAACTATAACGCAGTAAAATGATAAGAAACCTTAAATGAATTTCAAATTCCACAATTAATTCTTTATGCATCGCAAGCAGTAAATCTCAAAAATAATATTGATGTAAACTATTATCTATTTTAAGCTACTTTGACTTTAAATAATAAATTCCATTATAATCTAATTATTTTTTTTCTATTACAGGCACTAGTTATTGATACCAGCAGCATATTTTTTGATATAGTCAGCATTATTATGCATGCCAATTATATGAGTAAGTATTTGAATTATTCTTCTATTTATAAAAATGATTATTCATAATGGAATTCTGTTTCTTTCTCCCCCTATTAGATGGCTGGGCCATTGCGTTTGCCATTATTAATCTTATTTTGAGACCTATAAGTGTGGTTCTATTGTATCGCGAATTCAATGCACGAGGCGGTGCCACGGGCTCAGTATTCCCCACCACCACAACACAACAACGTAGTTATCAAGACATCGATAGACCCACACAAACAGTGCCAACAACATCAGCAGGACCCAATGTAGCGAGCATATTCTAAGTCAAATTTCTTATTTAATTAAAACAATACTAAAATTATTTAAAATCAATCGCAAAGAAAAAACTTTTAAAAAAGACTTAAAAATGTAATTTAAATTGAAAATGTTAATATGAATGTTTAACATTTGTCTTCTCTTTGTGTAACTATTGTTGTTATTTAAATGAAAAAAGTTAAAAATTATTATTACTACTATTTTGTATTAAAAAATATTTATGGTAATTATGATTACTTAAATTTTGCAATTATTGTATTTAGTTGTAAAGTAATTTTTGCTTATGTGAGTGTGTATTTTGGGTTTATTATTAAAAAAATTAACTTAAATTCTTCCAAATCATGTTAAATTTTACTATTTTTATTTTCTCTTTAGTAATTAAATACTTTTGTTAAAAGAAATAAAAAAATAATAATCTATTAATTAATTAATTTTGCATGATTTGCTCTAAATTAATGCTGACCTAGAGCTTTGATTTAGACTACAACTGAACTAGAACTGAACTAGAAATGAACTAGAACTGAACTAGAACTGAACTAGAACTGAACTAGAAATGAACTAGAACTGAACTAGAACTGAACTAGAACTGAACTAGAACTGAACTAGAACTGAACTTGAACTGAACTAGAACTGAACTAGAACTGAACTAGAACTGAACTAGAACTGAACTGGAACTGAACTAGAACTGAACTAGAACTGAACTAGAACTGAACTAGAACTGAACTAGAACTGAACTAGAACTGAACTAGAACTGAACTAGAACTGAACTAGAACTGAACTGAACTAGAACTGAACTGAACTGAACTGGACTAGAACTGAACTAGAACTGAACTAGAACTGAACTAGAACTGAACTAGAACTGAACTAGAACTGAACTAGAACTGAACTAGAACTGAACTAGAACTGAACTAGAACTGAACTAGAACTGAACTAGAACTGAACTAGAACTGAACTTGAACTGAACTAGAACTGAACTAGAACTGAACTAGAACTGAACTAGAACTGAACTAGAACTGAACTAGAACTGAACTTGAACTGAACTTGAACTGAAGTGAACTAGAACTGAACTAGAACTAAACTGGAACTGAACTAGAACTGAAGAAAAACTGAACTAGGTCTGAACCTGAACTGAATTAGAACTGAACTAGAACTGAACTAGAACTAGAACTGAACTAGAACTGAACTAGAACTGAACTAGAACTGAACTAGAACTGAACTAGAACTGAACTAGAACTGAACTAGAACTGAACTAGAACTGAACTAGAACTGAACTAGAACTGAACTAGAACTGAACTAGAACTGAACTAGAACTGAACTAGAACTGAACTAGGTCTGAACCTGAACTCAAATATAACTGAATTAGACCTGATCTAAAATTAAACTAGATATGAACTGAGAAAAATCTGAACCAGAGATAAACGTTATGCGGTTTCATCTACATATTCTGATTAAACTGAATATTAAGTTTTGTCATTTGATTTAAAATTTATTTAATTTTTCTATTCCATGCCCTTAAAAGATGCCTCTTAATATTTCACAATTATTATTCAAGCTGACTAAAAATCACCACAAATTTCGCCATTATTGATTTTCATAATTAGACCCTCCGACGATTGCAACAACCAAATCATAACAACCCGGAAAATTTTAAGCACAAATCATTTTTTTCTTTCGATTTTGTTTATTTTTATAATAAATAATAATTTATTTTATTTGTTAAACATTTTAACATAAATTCTTCATTTTTTTAATAAAATACAAAAAGAAACTAAAAACAGAGCACTCAGCAGTTTTTCAAAACCCACGATTATTTAACATTCGTAAAAAACTTGTTAAATTATATACTTATAAATGTAGGATTAAATTAAATCTATTAAAAAATATATATAAATTTTATATACAATTAAAGTCGAAGAGACTTATTTCCTTCCAAACATGTCTCAAAAACCTTCTTTAGCCGCTCTAAATTGATAACGATTATTTTCACCAGCCAGACAGGGCACTTGCACCAGATTGAAGTAAATCGAACCCATTAGCTGAGAAGCCGAAGTATTGGTCTGTTTCAAGCAGGAGAATAGCATATCATCGCAGATACAGTGGGATCTGTGAGAGTAAAAGCAGAAGTATTTAAATATAGCTTAGTAAAATTTATTAATTTTCTATTTCACTTACTTTGTATATAACGAATCATTACTTAAATCGTATTTATTTTGATAGGCCCTAATTTTGACTGGGCATAAATCATGTTGACGACAGCAACGATCCATATTAGTTTCAGTACCCAAATCGCTATAAGTTTCGGCAATATCACCGGTGCCACACCATTTAGTGCCTGCATAGAAAATAATATATCGATATTTTTAAAGATATTTTAAAGAACTGAGCTATAACTGAAATAAAACTGAGCTAGAACTGGACTAAAACTAAATTTGAACTGATCTAGAACTGAAGTAGAACGGAACTAGAACTGAACTGAATTTGAACTGAACTGAACTAGAACTGAAGTGGAACTGAACTGAACTAGAACTGAAGTGGAACGGAACTAGAACTGAACTAGAACTGAAGTGGAACGGAACTAGAACTGAACTAGAACTGAACTAGAACGGAACTAGAACAGAACTAGAACTGAACTAGAACTGAACTAGAACTGAACTAGAACTGAACTAGAAAACTGAAACTAGAACTGAACTAGAACTGAAACTAGAACTGAACTAGAGCTGAACTAGAACTGAACTAGAACTGAACTAGAACTGAACTAGAACTAACTAGAACTGAACTAGAACTGAACTAGAACTGAACTAGAACTGAACTAGAACTGAACTAGAACTGAACTAGAACGAACTAGAACTGAACTAGAACTGAACTAGAACTGAACTAGAACTGAACTAGAACTGAACTAGAACTGAACTAGACACTGAACTAGAACTGAAACTAGAACTGAACTAGAACTGAACTAGAACTGAACTAGAACTGAACTAGAACTGAACTAGAGCTGAACTAGAACTGAACTAGAACTACTGAACTAGAACTGAACAGAACTGAACTAGAACTGAACTAGAACTGAACTAGAACTGAACTAGAACTGAACTAGAACTGAACTAGAACTGAACTAGAACTGAACTAGAACTGAACTAGAACTGAACTAGAACTGAACTAGAACTGAACTAGAACTGAACTAGAACTGAACTAGAACTGAACTAGAACTGAACTAGAACTGAACTAGAACTGAACTAGAACTGAACTAGAACTGAACTAGAACTGAACTAGAACTGAACTAGAACTGAACTAGAACTGAACTAGAACTGAACTAGAACTGAACTAGAACTGAACTAGAACTGAACTAGAACTGAACTAGAACTGAACTAGAACTGAACTAGAACTGAACTAGAACTGAACTAGAACTGAACTAGAACTGAACTAGAACTGAACTAGAACTGAACTAGAACTGAACTAGAACTGAACTAGAACTGAACTAGAACTGAACTAGAACTGAACTAGAACTGAACTAGAACTGAACTAGAACTGAAACTAGAACTGAACTAGAACTGAACTAGAACTGAACTAGAACTGAACTAGAACTGAACTAGAACTGAACTAGAACTAACTGAACTAGAACTGAACTAGAACTGAACTAGAACTGAACTAGAACTGAACTGAACTAGAACTGAACTAGAACTGAACTAGAACTGAACTAGAACTGAACTAGAACTGAACTAGAACTGAACTAGAACTGAACTAGAACTGAACTAGAACTGAACTAGAACTGAACTAGAACTGAACTAAAACTGAACTACTGAATTGAACTAGTACTGAACTAGAAATGAACTAGACCTAAAATAAAACTAAACTAAATCTAGAACTGAACTGAACTAAACCTGAACTAGAACTTAACGAGAACTTGAACTGAACTAGAACCCAAATAAAAGTTTTATTAATACAACTTACCTGGTATTATACCACTCAATATCGACAAGGGACTCTTGGGAAATATGTTTGCGGCTAAATTTAAAGCCACATTATTCTGGGAATTGGAGGTGGCGACCGCCGTATCTGAAGATTTGCCAGTATTACGGGCAGCATAAGTAAGTTTATCGACACGTTCACACTGATTCATTAATTTAAGCATTTCATTGAATTTAATTTCCAAAGGGCGATTGTATTTGGAGAGATTACGTAGTAACATTTTGCCCTCCTGGTCATTGCTGTAATAAAAAAATAAAATAAAAATATAGGAAATTAGTAGTTATATATTGTATTTAAAAAAGCATATGTATTAAATTTTACTTTAATATTAAAAAAATAAACTTTCGTCCATTTACTTTTGTCTTTGAAAAGAAAAAAAAAACAAAATGAAACCTGTTGTACATAATTAATTAACTAAAAGTTTAAGTACTTACTTATTCCCCTTTTTAATACATACACTTTTTTGTATTTTAAATAAGTAATAAGTGATTTTTTTACTATTTTCAAGTCCCAGCAACTTGTTGATATCGTTTTATTATAATTTTTATATGAACTATACTTATTTCCCTCTTGTTTTCAGCACTCCCTGCTTTATAAACCTTGTTATTCCATAAATAATTGAAAAATTGATTTTATAAATTTTTTTTAATAATACACTTCCGCTTAAATTTCAATCTTTATACAAATTGGAAAAAATACAGACAATACTGTATCGAACAATAGTTTTTTAATTGAAATCTGCTTTGATTCATTAAAAATCTATTTAAATTAAATAATGCAAACCGTTTGCCAAAAAAAATAAATTAAATTAAGTATTCAATTGGCACTTTTGTTTGTGATAAAGAGATAAATACTGGTAAATGTAATTTTAATTTAATTTGCATTAATTAAGTTGTAATCAAAGATTTAAAACAGTGTTTTGATTATGAGATTATCAGGATTAAGATGACCTCTCTAAGTACGTCATTGTGTAATGGTGTTAATGACCTTAGTAATGTAAAAAATTAAGGAGGGAAGGTTTGCTCTTTACTGGTTTGCAATTTACTTAATTAAACTAATCTCTTGTGGAAAGAGAACCTAACACTTAACTTAACCAAATTGGTTCAAAGGTGTCATTGGATTAGTTCAGATAACTGCTGATACATCTATATACTGCAAATAAGATTAAACAATTGATACCTTTACTGCTCTGCCTAAATACTTTGCATATGAAGTTTTACTCATAACCGCTAATTAATTATTTAAACCAACATTTGTACAACAAATTTTTTGGTTTAATTTAGTCCAAAGAAAAAAAATTGTCAACACACCTTAATTAAATGAATGGTACCATCGAGTGTGATTAAATAGACGTCCTAATTTTGGGGAATAATAAATTTATAAATTGTTACCACAATATTTTGTAATAACTTTTGCAAATAAATATTTTAAATATTACACCACAATTATTAATAATATTACCACACAAACCATTAATTTACATTTGATTTTAAGCCAAATATTTGAAAAGGGAATTTCAAAATAAAAGTTGGCAATCAAATTGGCAAACCAGATTCACAAAAAAGATGTTTCAAATGCAAAATTAAAAATTAGGAAAATAGGAAGTGTTTAAAGTCCAACTATATCACATACATTAGATTATTCCCATAAACGGAACATAGTAGTTAAATAATTCACTTGCACCTGTAGTTTACCCATTTACAACTCAAATCGTTTTAAAATTCCAACAAATTTTAATTAATACCCCCCAAACATTCGGTAAGAGTTCCCATCATTCCTATGGGAAATTATGCACACGTTTAAATAACTAATTAAGTCTGCATTAATAATTCAACCTACTAAATTTCAATTAGTTCACAGCCCAGCAATAGTTTCTGTGGTCCCAATTCGGTAACCGCAATTGTAGAATCATGATAATAAATCATTATCAACGAATCGTTGGTTAAACGTTTTCCACTGAAAAAAATATGAAAAAAATTAATAATAATAATTAAGTTATTATATACAAACATTTAAAATTATTAATAATTTATTAATTCATTTTAAACATTTAAGGTAAATTAATCGAAACATAGTATATCGCATACGGATTAAATAATGAAAAACTTAAACAGTGGTTTGAGGTGCCGACAGTTCTAGTTCAAGTTCAGTTCTAGTTCAGTTCTAGTACAGTTCTAGTTCAGTTCTAATTCAGTTCTAATTCAGTTCTAGTTTAGTTCTAGTTCAGTTCTAGTTCAGTTCTAGTTCAGTTCTAGTTCAGTTCTAGTTCAATTCTAGTTCAATTCTAGTTCAATTCTAGTTCAATTCTAGTTCAATTCTAGTTCAATTCTAGTTCAATTCTAGTTCAATTCTAGTTCAATTCTAGTTCAATTCTAGTTCAATTCTAGTTCAGTTCTAGTTCAGTTCTAGTTCTGTTCTAGTTCAGCTCTTGTTCAGTTCTTGTTCAGTTCTAGTTCAGTTCTAGTTCAGTTCTAGTTCAGTTCTAGTTCAGTTCTAGTTCAGTTCTATTTCAGTTCTAGTTCAGTTCTAGTTCAGTTCTAGTTCAGTTCTAGTTCAGTTCTAGTTCTAGTTCAGTTCTAGTTCAGTTCTAGTTCAGTTCCACTTCAGTTCAGTTCTAGTTCAGTTCTAGTTCAGTTCTAGTTCTAGTTCTGTTCTAGTTCAGTTCTAGTTCAGTTCTAGTTCAGTTCTAGTTCAGTTCTAGTTCAGTTCTAGTTCAGTTCTAGTTCAGTTCTAGTTCAGTTCTAGTTCAGTTCTAGTTCAGTTCTAGTTCAGTTCTAGTTCAGTTCTAGTTCAGTTCTAGTTCAGTTCTAGTTCAGTTCTAGTTCAGTTCTAGTTCAGTTCTAGTTCAGTTCTAGTTCAGTTCTAGTTCAGTTCTAGTTCAGTTCTAGTTCAGTTCTAGTTCAGTTCTAGTTCAGTTCTAGTTCAGTTCTAGTTCAGTTCTAGTTCAGTTCTAGTTCAGTTCTAGTTCAGTTCTAGTTCAGTTCTAGTTCAGTTCTAGTTCAGTTCTAGTTCAGTTCTAGTTCAGTTCTAGTTCAGTTCTAGTTCAGTTCTAGTTCAGTTCTAGTTCAGTTCTAGTTCAGTTCTAGTTCAGTTCTAGTTCAGTTCTAGTTCAGTTCTAGTTCAGTTCTAGTTCAGTTCTAGTTCAGTTCTAGTTCAGTTCTAGTTCAGTTCTAGTTCAGTTTAGTTCAGTTCTAGTCTAGTTCAGTTCAGTTCTAGTTCAGTCTAGTTCAAGTTCTAGTTCAGTTTCTAGTTCAGTTTAGTTTAGTTCTAGTTCAGTTCTAGTTCTATTCCAGTTAGTTCTGTCAGTTCTAGTTAGTTTTAGTTTAGCTCCTATCAGTTCCAGAAATGAACACATACATAAGATTTATCAACACTTACCTATACGTCTTCATTGTCTCGCAATCCTATTCTCGATAATTTGCTGGTGAAACGATTAAAGGGTGAGGGAAAAACCCTGTAAACTCTGTGGAAAGCTAAACGTAATATGGCTTAGCACCAGCCCGTACTTAAAATCCCAATATGAACATACTACTAGCTGCAACAAAACACAACTGTAAATGACGTTTATAACCCCAAGGTGTCGATATGCTGAAGGAACCGGAACGTTGTTTCGCCATGATGTTTAATTTAAACTGTGATTTTTTTAAATCTTTTCGAAACCCGAAAAATCAGGATAAAATTTTTAACATTTCAAAGAAAGAAATAGCGCGATTTTTATTTAGTTGTTACTTCACTATAAAGACTGTAAAGGAATAAAGAAAATTATTTTATTATTTAATTTTTGTTAAATGTTTTATTTTGTTTTCTTAATGTGTTGGTTATTCACATGTTGTTGTTGTTCTACAAAATTTCCTCGTTGCTGGTAATTATAGGTTTTATAGTGTTGTTGTAGTTGTTGACTTATTAGTTGATTGTTTTATATTGTTGTCTTATTAATTAATTTTTAATGGTAACAGGCGTTGTCAATCCCATCAATATTGATTTCTGAATCCTTTTAAGGCTTTTATTTACAGGTGTTAATGTTCACATTTGGTTTTTAGCGATTGTAGTTTTGTATTTTGTGGTCGAAAGAAACTTTTATTGGCAAATTTTTTTTGGTCGTTTTGAAAACAGTTAAAGTTTGGAAAAAATTAAAAAAAGAAATTATGTTTTTTTGAATGATCTAAAACTAACTCGAAACTGAACTTGAACTAGAACTGAACTTAAACTGAACTAGACTGAACTAGATCTAAAACTAAACTAGAACTGAACTAGAACTCTGAACTAGAACTTGAACTAGAACTGACCTAGAACTGAACTAGAAACTGAACTACTCGAACTGATCTAGAACTGACCTAGAACTGAACTAGAACTGAACTAGAAACTGAACTTAGAACCTTGAACTAGAACCTGAACTAGAACTGAACTAGAACTGACCTAGAACTGAACTAGTAAACTGCACTAGGAACTGAACTAGAACTGAACTAGAACTGAACTAGAAACTGAACTTAACTTGAATAGAACTGAACTAGAACTGAACTAGAAACTGAACATAGAACTGAACTAGAACGAACTAGAACTGAACTAGAAACTGAACTAGAACTGAACTAGAACTGAACTCAGAACTGAACTAGAACTTGAACTAGAACTGAACTAGAACTGAACTAGAACTGACACTAGAACTGCAACTAGAACTGAACTAGAACTGAACTAGAACTGAACTAGAACTGAACTAGAACTGAACTAGAACTGAACTAGAACTGAACTAGAACTGAACTAGAACTGAACTAGAACTGAACTAGAACTGAACTAGAACTGAACTAGAACTGAACTAGAACTGAACTAGAACTGAACTAGAACTGAACTAGAACTGAACAAGAACTGAACAAGAACTGAACAAGAACTGAACTAGAACTGAACTAGAACTGAACTAGAACTGAACTAGAACTGAACTAGAACTGAACTAGAACTGAACTAGAACTGAACTAGAACTGAACTAGAACTGAACTAGAACTGAACTAGAACTGAACTAGAACTGAACAAGAACTGAACAAGAACTGAACAAGAACTGAACTAGAACTGAACTAGAACTGAACTAGAACTGAACTAGAACTGAACTAGAACTGAACTAGAATTGAACTAGAATTGAACTAGAACTGAACTAGAACTGAACTAGAACTGAACTAGAACTGAACTAGAATTGAACTAGAATTGAACTAGAACTGAACTAGAACTGAACTAGAACTGAACTAGAACTGAACTAGAACTGAACTAGAACTAAACTAGAACTGAAGTGAACTAGAACAGAACTAGAAAAGATCTAAAACTGAACCGATCCAGAACTGAACTGGAACTGATCTAGAACTAGAACTTAAATACAACTCAACTATTTTTGAACTAGAACTGGCCCAATGATATTATTTGAACAATGAGTAGAATTTCCGTTAAAAGTTATGAGAAAACTTTCATTTAATTAATTTTAGATTTAATTAAAGATTCGAAAACTAATTTCAGTTTTAACTATCTAGGAAAGTTTGCTATTTAAATAATTACTATTAAGCTAAAGAAATAGTTTAATTTTCTTTAAATTTATTGCACAATTTCTAATTTAAAAAAGCTAGTAATAATAAAAAGTAGTAGAAAGAGCATTTAAAAATACGCCCTTTTTGACAATAAAAAATTTTAAAGATAACATTTTTATGGAGCTATAAAATTCGTGATTTTTTCAAACTTTAGCTCCAATATCAACATCTAAGTGGAAAGACATGCACACGTCTGCGCTGATATCATAACAGACGTACATATTTAATGGATGCTGTTGATGCTTCAAACATTATTTTTATAGCACTTCAACTATGTCTGTTTATTGGGTTTTATCATAAGTGATTTCATAATCATCATCATTATCATGTTGTTATTATTGTTAGTTGGCACATTTCAAAATTTACGTTTAAATAAATAAAATAAAAGTGGACAAATATTTGGCCACAACAAAAAACATGTCAACAAACAAAGTTACTTTTTGGATTTTAATAAATGAATTGTAGTTTTTTACTTTTTTAGGTCATCATGAGGGAGTGAGTGAGTCTATATAGTTTTTAAAAGAGTCACGACAAAAATGAATCGTAGTTAATGCATTTACACATTTTAATTGTTGTTTAACACTATGAAAATTAATGATGGATTATGTAGTAAGTATATGAACATTAATTTATAGTTTATTATTATATTTTTTGAAACCAAAAAAGAAATTTCACTTTATGTCACGCATAGTGATTTGTTTTTGCAAATATTTTACTTCGTTTTATGATTAAATAATTACAGAATGTTTGTTATAAAAATGTTGGTTAGTCGTCGTCTCATAGTTAAAATTGTGCAAAAAAGTGAAGATCATAATTTATGTTTAACATTAATTTTTTTTGGTTTGAAATAATATTTATGTTTCACAAGTGGTTGATTTTTATTTTTTAATTAATTTTAACAAAGATATTACTATTAAGTTTAAGGTCGTTTTTTAGGAAATGCTACTATAAAAAAGTTATATATTTGATTTTGTTTAAGTTTTTCGAACATCCTCTAACTGCGAACGAACACTTCTTTATGTTGAAAACAATAAAAATGTTTCGTATTTATTTATTGTTGTTCGTTCGCATTTAGGGGTACAGGACCTAATAATTTATTTTAATACCCGTTTATTATCTGACCACAGAATTCCTCTATTAGGTTTTTGAGATATGCATTTCAGCTGAGAACTTTATTTAACTCACAGATACTGGCTTTATTTTTAAGAATTATACTCAGGTATGTATAGCTTGTTCAATTAATATAGTACATTAATTTAGAGTTCGATATACATAAATTAAAAAAAAACTATTTTGCTACCTATCATCTATCTATCTATCTATCTATCTATCTATCTATCTATCTATCTATCTATCTATCTATCTATCTATCTATCTATCTATCTATCTATCTATCTATCTATCTATCTACTCTATCTATCTATCTATCTATCTATCTATCTATCTATCTATCTATCTATCTATCTATCTATCTATCTATCTATCTATCTATCTATCTATCTATCTCTATCTATCTATCTATCTATCTATCTATCTATCTATCTATCTATCTATCTATCTATCTATCTATCTATCTATCTATCTATCTATCTATCTATCTATCTATCTATATCTATCTATCTATCTATCTATCTATCTATCTATCTCTATCTATCTATCTATCTATCTATCTATCTATCTATCTATCTATCTATCTATCTATCTATCTCTATCTATCTATCTATCTATCTATCTATCTCTATCTATCTATCTATCTATCTATTATCTATCTATCTATCTATCTATCTATCTATCTATCTATCTATCTTATCTATCTATCTATCTATCTATCTATCTATCTCTATCTATCTATCTATCTATCTCTATCTATCTATCTATCTATCTATCTATCTATCTATCTATCTATCTATCTATCTATCTATCTATCTATCTATCTATCTATCTATCTATCTATCTATCTTCTATCTATCTATCTATCTATCTATCTATCTATCTATCTATCTATCTATCTATCTATCTATATCTATCTATCTATCTATCTATCTATCTATCTATCTATCTATCTATCTATCTATCTATCTATCTATCTATCTATCTATCTATCTATCTATCTATCTATCTATCTATATCTATCTATCTCTATCTATCTATCTATCTATCTATCTATCTATCTATCTATCTATCTATCTATCTATCTATCTATCTACTATCTATCTATCTATCTATCTATCTCTATCTATCTATCTATCTATCTCTACTATCTATCTATCTATCTATCTATCTATCTATCTATCTATCTATCTATCTATCTATCTATCTATCTATCTATCTATCTATCTATCTATCTATCTATCTATCTATCTATCTATCTATCTATCTATCTATCTATCTATCTATATATCTATCTATCTATCTATCTATCTATCTATCTATCTATCTATCTATCTATCTATCTATCTATCTATCTATCTATCTATCTATCTATCTATCTATCTATCTATCTATCTATCTATCTATCTATCTATCTATCTATCTATCTATCTATCTATCTATCTATCTATCTATCTATCTCTATCTATCTATCTATCTATCTATCTATCTATCTATCTCTATCTATCTATCTAACGCTACCCGACCCCTACCATACCTACCTCCTACCTACCTACCTACCTACCTACTCTAGCCTACCTACCTATCTATCTATCTATCTATCTAATCTCATCTATCTATCTATTCTATCTATCGATTATCTATCTATCTATCAGCTATCTATCTATCGATCTACTATCTATCTATCTATCTATCTATCTATCTATCTATCTATCTATCTATCTATCTATCTATCTATCACCTTTTTTTGAAAAACAAAAGCTGAAATTTGTTTTCAGCTTCTGAAATTTTTATACATAATTAAACCTTTTCTATACTTTTGTAAAAAATTTTCGCTAATTTAAAAGAAAAAAGTCTATATTAAATTGCATTTGTCGTGCTAAAATTTAATTAAATTTTGTTATAATTTTAAATAGTACTCGTTTAAACAAAGTCGTAAAATTGTTTTAAATAAAACTTGAACAAAAATCAAATCAATAGCGTTTTAAAACTACGATTTCAATAAAATTAGACCGATTTTAATTTAATTTTATCATGCAAAAGCGAAATTTGAATTGTTTTCCAACATAAAACAAAAATAAAAATTCCCAAAATTCATTTCGCTCAATTTCGTTTTTTATTAATAAATAATTCATAATCTTTATTAATCCAAAGTTAGTTACTCAATAACTAGTATGTAGGCAGGCACAAAAAACCAAACTTGATAATCGGTTATTTTTATGCAATATTTTTCAATGATTTAATTTTAAATCAAGGTTAATAAAAACGCAGCAATTGTCTGATTTGCTGAAGCTGCTGCTGCGACTCAAGTCAAGCACATTAATTACACATTTTGCAATTTACTTGTTTTTTTTTTTATAAAAAACTTAAATGCAAATGTAAATCTTTGTTTTTTGTTAACAAAGTCCATAAACACTTAAAAATGGCTTGTCATAGGTCAGGTTACAAACAATTATAAAAAAAATCTGTTTAAAAACGTAAAGATGACTAAAAATAAACAAAAAGAAATATCAACACGGGCAAACAAGAAAAAAAAACACAACAGCAGCAGCATTTGTTTTCATTGTCAAGTTACACTGATACACCACCACCACCTTCTTTTGCTTTTACTCTCTCTGTGTTTTTTTCTACCATCACACAGTGGGGCAGAATGGAAATTTTTTGGAAATAAATCTGGCATTTCTAAACGGCTGATCCGATCGGGATAAAATTTGGCGTGAGCGTAGCCAAGGAGTATTCGAGTTTAAGTTTTGAAGATGAACCCTGCAAATGCACCAGGGACGGCGCTGTGGCGGCTCAAAGTAGGGTACCTACGACATGTAAAATTTTTAATGTATGTTCTGTCATACTTAATACTAAAATATGAAAAAGATGAAATTAAAGGACACAGGTTTAAATGAACATATTTTTGAATGTAATTGAGATATTGGCTTGAAATTTTTTGTAAAGGGTCGAGAATTTCCATATCTAACTAAAAAATGATATTAAGGGATAAATATGGACTAAATTGTTGTAGCTATCTGCGATCCTATTAAAATTTTGATATAAATCATAGTTTTAGAAATTAAACAAATATGTAATATATGACAAAATCTTTATTTATGAACAAAACTCAATGAAATTTTCAACGCTTGTTAAATTTGTCATTTCAAATAAGAATATGCAAAAAAAATTGAAAAGGTCAAAGGGCATCCCGCAATTCCCAAAAATAGGAATGAAAATCCCAAAAATGGGATTTTTTACTTTTTTGCCCATAGGGTCCACATTTCTTTCAGGGCTGGGAAAATACTTTTGGAGTAAATAGAAAACATATTGAGGTTTCCAAAAATGCTTTCAGTTTTCTGATCCCAGCTTTGGGATTTTAGAACATGTCGCCCAAAGTTGAAGTTTTGATAAAAAATAGGTCATATTCGGAAGGACGCAGTGGCAACATTTTCAAAAAATATGACAAGTTTTTTACGCCAAAGCGTTCTGCGTAAAGATACCTTTTAGAAAACTATAAAATTGTTATATGTTCTTAATAAAAATTTTATTTTATTAATAAAAGAGTTAAGACACATTTTTGGCAAAAAAACGCCAAAAATCTAAAATTATTTGAATTTTTAAATTAAAAAACGTATATTTTTGGATCTGTAAATGATATTGATCTCAAATTTTTTGTATATTATTGGAAATTTTGTTGTCTAACTAACAAGAAAAAATTGAGTCCATTTGGTCCAAAATTACGCCCGGTATTCAAAAAAAGGCGGACCAAGGTATGGTAAATTTTGTATCACTAAATTTTTAAATGCCTATAACTCGGATATTATAAGAGATAAGTAGTATGTCCAAGCATATTTTTTCAAGATCTCGTCGAGCGCTTTCACAAAATATAAAAATCTTTGGGTGAAAAACAAAGAAATGGCACGAGTTTAAAAATTTTACATGTCGTAGGTACCCTACTTTGAGCCGCCACAGCGCCGTCCCAGGGTTCATCTTCAAAACTTAAACTCGAATACTCCTTGGCTACGCTCACGCCAAATTTTATCCCGATCGGATCAGCCGTTTAGAAATGCCAGATTTATTTCCAAAAAATTTCCATTCTGCCCCACTGTGCATCATTAAATATTTGATAACAACTACAAATAAGCAACAACAACAAATAAAAACAAACAAAAAAACTTTCACAACCTTTTTTTTCTTTTAATTGTTAGTTCAATGTTGTTGTTAACAATAACTAAAAAAGAAGAAGAATTAGCAACAACAGACATTTGCTTTTATTTTTTTGTTGTTTGTTGCAAACATGATAAACAGATCCAATGGCTGCTTGGTTAATGATCTTTAAATGTTTGAAAACAGCAACAACAAAAAATGCTCTAATTGAATTGATGTTTTTTTTTTCGCATTTAGATAAAAAAGAAAGATGACTGTTGGCTATATTATTGGTCGTATGGACCAAAATCTTAATCAAAAGAAAAGTTTTCAAAATCTCTGCATGTTTTCAAATCACTAAAAGAAAAGAAGTGAAAATAAATTGTCTTGTAACATTGTTAATACTTTAGATAGTGCTCTGTTTAAAACTTTATAATAAGAACAATGGAATATTTTCATTTCTATAGCAATTTAACACTAGAGATCAAAAGTGCAGTTAATTAATATGGAATTCTTTATAGACATTAATTGCATGAGAATATTTTAAATTAGTTTTTGCTTTTTTAACAAAACAGCTTCAAATTAAAAGTGTTAAGGTTAGTAAAGTAATGAACATTAGAAAAAAAGTAATGCAATTATAAAGACAAAACAATCTTATAAATTTTGAAATAACTTTTTATGACTAATATGGTTTTAAGGAAGTGTTAAGTGTCAAGTTTTCAAGAAGATAAGTGTCAGTAGATTGTCAGATTGAAAAATTCTCTATTGAATTTTAAACTAATTTGTTGAATAATGTTTATTCTTGTGATCAATATTCTTTTAAAATCGACTCTAGTCAATAATTATACGGGCCAACAATTTTTTAACTCAGAAATCAGATTATGTATACAGTTCCAAATCAGATTTAATCGGAGCTGAATCCAAGTTTGTTCATTCCACCCGGTTTTAAAATACGTTTTCACCGTCTGATTGTTGTGCGCTTAACAAGTGCCTCAGGTGGGAATCGTACCCACCACCTCCGCTCTACCAGACTAGAACACTAACCACAAAGAATCAGATACAGTTTTGTTGGTGGCTTTTAACTTTTTCAGCCTATTTTTCTCTTAAAGCCGAACCTCAAATTTCATAAAAAATTGCCTTTCCACCGATTTTTTATTAAAAATTATATTATTCATCAATAAAGATCAAACAACTTTCACTATAAAAGCAATTCTTCTCATTCGGCTCTTATTATCGAAATACTTTATTTTGGGATTGTTTCCAGATCAAAGGAAATACCAAAGTATAACAAGTTATACTTTGGGAAATACTAAGTAGAATCTATTCTAGTGACTTAGTGGAGAAATATTATGAAATTAGGATCTTTTAAAGTCCTCAAATTATTATGTTTTTATACTAAGAAACCCCATTTTCAGTAAGTTTCAGATTACCTCCAAAGACTCCTAAGACGATTCTATAACAATAACGAGCAAGTCCATTAAAAAAGATCTAAAACATCAATTTCGTAATACTGAAAGATCTTAAAATATACCTGAACTTTTTCGATATTAGATATCGGTGTTAAATGAGCGTAAATATAACATACATGGAATCCCGAATCCCGGGATTTGAGTAATAAAAATTTTCCGTACAAATTCTGAATAAATTCTTCTTTTGTAAAAATCATCATTTAGATTTTCCAAATAAAGCTAAAACGTTTATAATGAACTCCGGAGGTTATAACTGGTCCAAAAAAAACACCATTGATTTTTCAATATTTTCTTATGATTTCCACATTAAAGTTCGTTTTAAAAAAGGTAAATTGTATGGCATTATATTTAAGGGACTACCAAGTAGTTCGTTTTATCCGAGGATTCATTATAAGAGATGTTTTTATATGAAAATATTGACCAAATTGTTGGGACTTGAAAAAGTTCTTCGTAATAACCGAGAATTCGGTTTGACTGTTATCAGTTTTTAAAATTGCATATCACAGATGAGTTCATTTAAAAAAGTACCAATATTATTCACTTTGAACCTGATTAGTATCCGAGTTCCAAAACACTAAATCTATCAACTTTAAAAAGTTTATCACAAATTTCCCTATTTTCGCCCTTTTAGGTACTTTTTTTCTCCCGATAAAGAAAAAATAAAGCAATATCGTATTGGAAAGCTATTATGAAATATTTGTAGGTAAAAAAAATTTAAAAAAAAATTTACCTACAAATATTTCATAATAGCTTTCCAATACGAGATTGCTTTATTTTTGCTTTATCGGGAGAAAAAGAAGTACCTAAAAGGGCGAGAATTGGAACCAAAATTAGGTACGATTTTAGGCCTTAAACGTCCTAATTTTCCAAAAGTACCCAATACACTCGAATTCGAACGCAAGTAGTATCCTATCAACTTTAAAAGGTTTATCATAATTTTCTCTATGAGTTTGGATACAATTAAATTTCCCAATTCTCGCCCTTTAAGGTACTTTTTTCTCCCAGTAAAGCAACAATAAGGCAAAAACAGGTACGATTTTTAGCCTTTAAAGGATCGAATTTCTCAAAAGTATCAAACTTTTATTCGTTATTTTTCATTGAGCTATAAAAGTGAGATAAATGTTATTCCTAGTTTCAGTTGTATTGCACTAAATCGTAATATTTTTAAAATTCATACATACAATCGATTATTCGATCAATATAAACACTGATTTGTTACAATAACATTTTGTATCTTAAATAATTGTTATTCTCAAAAAAGATTTTTTACCTTCAACCAGTCTTAACGGTAAACAAAAACCAATGACTCATATTAGAGTTAATAAAAGTTGTATTTAACAAACTTAATAAATGTTTCCTTAAGATATAAAACTAAATCCGGCACGAATTCTTTAACTTTTTAATGGTTACCCATTTTAAATACTAATTGAGGGTTCTTAGGGTTCTTTAACATTTGTGGTGTAGACATTTTTCTAGTTAGTTATGCATATGATTTAAATTTAATTAGCTAAACAATATGGATTTTTTTTCGAAACACGATTATTTTGAGAGGTTATGTGGTGTAATAAAATTATTTAAACAAATATTTGTTAGTGTTTTTGTTAACAGAATTGCACTTCACTGTTTTATGTTTTGACTTTTTTATGATTTTTTTAATATATTTATGTATTAATATTCGAAATTTCCCAATAATTCTTCTCAGAAGTGAAACGCGGTCAACACGCAATACAAATAAATCAGGCAACAACAAGACAATGCACTTTACAACAAAACAAAAGCTCACAATCACAGAATCAACAACTAGCAACAACAATGGAAGAAAAAGCCTTGTTTAAAACAGCAGCAACATGTGAACGAGTACAACAAATACGTTAAGGCGGTTAAATTTTGAAATTAATAATTAATATTTGCTGTTGATGAAAAGTTTCATTGAAACATACTTTTGTTTTTTTTCGTAATTATGTATTAGATGTTTTCTTAATAATATGTTTAACACAAAACTTTAAGTTTAGTTTTCAGAACTATAATTATTATTTAGTTTAATATTTATGTTTTTTTATTAAATTTCGTTTTGATTTTTGTTTTTTTTTAATTTTTTATTAATATTACTTTAATTTTATAAAAATTAATCGTTTTTTATTTAAGTTAATTTGTTTTTTTTATAATTTCTTATAGCTAATTTTTTGTGTAGCTTTAAACACTTTGGTGCTCGATAAACAACTAATCATTTAACTTGGCTTAAACCATTAAAACCCGCCAGCCACAACCATCAAAAACATTGAAACGTCTAAAGCTAGGCCGCCGCGAAAATAAAAATACATTTTAAAACTGAACGCGAGCACTATTGTTGTGTGTGCTTTTTTTCAATTGTTGTTGCTGTTGTTGTTGTTAGTGAAAGAGAAACTTTGTTTGGAAAAAAAGAGCCAGTCGTCGTCACTCTTTTTTCTCATAAATTAACGCTGACTTGACAATGAAAGCTTTAAAGAATGCATTCAATTGTTATCGATTGTTATACTTTAAGCTGAGCTTGATTAAACTTGCTTTTATTGGAAAACCCAGACTGACTAAAGTCTAGTCTATAGTCTAGTCTATAGTCTAGTCTATAGTCTAGTCTATAGTCTAGTCTATAGTCTAGTCTATAGTCTAGTCTATAGTCTAGTCTATAGTCTAGTCTATAGTCTAGTCTATAGTCTAGTCTATAGTCTAGTCTATAGTCTAGTCTATAGTCTAGTCTATAGTCTAGTCTATAGTCTAGTCCATAGTCTAGTCTATAGTCTAGTCTATAGTCAAGTCTATAGTCTAGTCTATAGTCTAGTCTATAGTCTAGTCTATAGTCTAGTCTATAGTCTAGTCTATAGTCTAGTCTATAGTCTAGTCTATAGTCTAGTCTATAGTCTAGTCTATAGTCTAGTCTATAGTCTAGTCTATAGTCTAGTCTATAGTCTAGTCTATAGTCTAGTCTATAGTCTAGTCTATAGTCTAGTCTATAGTCTAGTCTATAGTCTAGTCTATAGTCTAGTCTATAGTCTAGTCTATAGTCTAGTCTATAGTCTAGTCTATAGTCTAGTCTATAGTCTAGTCTATAGTCTAGTCTATATTCTAGTCTATAGTCTAGTCTATAGTCTAGTCTATAGTCTAGTCTATAGTCTAGTCTATATTCTAGTCTATAGTCTAGTCTATAGTCTAGTCTATAGTCTAGTCTATAGTCTAGTCTATAGTCTAGTCTATAGTCTAGTCTATAGTCTAGTCTATAGTCTAGTCTATAGTCAAGTCTATAGTCTAGTCCATAGTCTACTCTATAGTCTAGTCCATAGTCTAGTCTATAGTCTAGTCCATAGTCTAGTCTATAGTCTAGTCTATAGTCTAGTCTATAGTCTACTAGTCTATAGTCTAGTCTATAGTCTAGTCTATAGTCTAGTCTATAGTCTAGTCTATAGTCTAGTCTATAGTCTAGTCTATAGTCTAGTCTATAGTCTAGTCTATAGTCTAGTCTATAGTCTAGTCTATAGTCTAGTCTATAGTCTAGTCTATAGTCTAGTCTATAGTCTAGTCTATAGTCTATCTATAGTCTAGTCTATAGTCTAGTCTATAGTCTAGTCTATAGTCTAGTCTATAGTCTAGTCTATAGTCTAGTCTATAGTCTAGTCTATAGTCTAGTCTATAGTCTAGTCCATAGTCTAGTCCATAGTCTAGTCTATAGTCTAGTCTATAGTCTAGTCATAGTCTAGTCTATAGTCTACTCTATAGTTAGTCTATAGTCTAGTCTATAGTCTAGTCTATAGTCTAGTCTATAGTCTAGTCTATAGTCTAGTCTATAGTCTAGTCTATAGTCTAGTCTATAGTCTAGTCTATAGTCTAGTCTATAGTCTAGTCTATAGTCTAGTCTATAGTCTAGTCTATAGTCTAGTCTCTAGTCTAGTCTATATGTCTAGTATAGTCTAGTCTATAGTTAGTCTATAGTCTAGTCTATAGTCTAGTCTATAGTCTATGTCTATAGTCTAGTCTATAGTCTAGTCTATAGTCTAGTCTATAGTCTAGTCTATAGTATAGTCTATAGTCTAGTCTATAGTCTAGTCTATAGTCTAGTCTATAGTCTAGTCTATAGTCTAGTCTATAGTCTAGTCTATAGTCTAGTCTATAGTCTAGTCTATAGTTAGTCTATAGTCTAGTCTTATAGTCTAGTCTATAGTCTAGTCTATAGTCTAGTTATAGTCTAGTCTATAGTCTAGTCTATAGTCTAGTCTATAGTCTTAGTCTATAGTCTAGTCTATAGTCTAGTCTATAGTCTAGTCTATAGTCTAGTCTATAGTCTAGTCTATAGTCTAGTCTATAGTCTAGTCTATAGTCTAGTCTATAGTCATAGTCTAGTCTATAGTCTAGTCTATAGTCTATTCTATAGTCTAGTCTATTGTATAGTCTAGTCTATAGTCTAGTCTATAGTCTAGTCTATAGTCTATTCTATAGTCTAGTCTATTGTATAGTCTAGTCTACAGTCTACTTCGTTCAACTGTCTTGACAGATTGATGTCTTTATTGGACTCAATCTTTAGCGGTATCGTTTCACTAATGTAATTGAATTATTCTAGATTTCAAAAGGTGAAATCGAGAAATATGTGGTTCAATTAAACCTGACCCCATAATGTTTCAAATATTCCATGTTTCTACTCCTTTAGATCACTGAACTTACAACAATTGTACAAACAAAATTTTAACCCACCATAAAAAACCAAACTTATTAAACGTGCTCTGCATATCAGCACTAAAAAAGCAAAAGAAAAGCTTAACATACAAACTTAAAGAAAAAACAACTATACAACATAAACTTTAAAAGTACGTCTGTGTCTCCTTCAAAGTACAAGTTATAAACAAATAATGAAAAAAAAACTTAAAATTAAATGTATGTACGACATAAATAAATAGTACTTCAGCAGTTTATTCCATTTGGGTCTTTCTTTTCTTTAGGTTTTATTAAAACTATACACGAGGATGATCATGTGTATGACGATAATTATAATGATCATGGTGCCAAAGAAAATAATAAGAAAGAGATAGGTTTTAAAGAACTTTTAAAAGTATAGAAACAAGTTCTGTTATTATTTTTGGGGAAATTTCTTTCCGACATTTCTTAATGAAGGGCTTAACATCTAGATCAATTTAAATCTGTTCTGGTCAGAAACTTTTAGGAAACAGATCAAATGGATCTTATCTTGAATGCAGTAAAGAGCTTTAGAAATCACTTGCTTAAATTTTGCTATTCTCCCATCTATGTTCCGAAAGTGTGGAAAACATGGAGGAATATTAAAAGCAAGAGACTTTTGGAGGATCTAAATAAAGAATGAATGGACACTGATAGCCTATAACAAGATCAATACTTATGGCTACTGAAAGATCTCTTGACGAAATTTAAAACGACTTTTCAAACTGTCTCCCTAAAAAATTGATGTTTATTTTGATCCACAATAGTAATTCAAACGATTAAAGCAAGTATTTATTGTCCGCACGACTTTTACTTATGACGATAAAACCAGCAAAAGAGTGTAGTTTTGACTGTAGTACTTGTAAAGCAAAAAAAAAGTAAATATCGGGGGTATGAGTAGAGCATAAAAGAGGTATGAATAACCACTTATCACCTGTTGTCTAAAAGAAATTTTCAAATTCAAAATGTGTCCAGTTTTAACAAACAACTACAACTTTGTTTTTTTTTTTTTTTTTTGGCTTAATCTCCCTCCCTTTGACGCTAACATTAGATTGTTAGACAAAAACAATGATGTCTTTGAAAACAAAAAGTAAAAGAAAATAATGAATGAAATGAAGCGTTGAAATATAAACTGCAAGTGAAATTTTTATTATTTTTTGTTGTTGTTTAAAGTCTATTATACAAGTAGTTTGTTTTAAATTGTTATTTTTTTTTGGCGACATTTATTTAAATTTTCTGTGTGAGTTTTTTTTTTTGTTAAACTATTTTAAATAATAAAGTGTGACACAAGCGATCGTTTACTAAGGTGGTCATTATATGCAAATTTAAGTACAGTGGGCGGGAAGACAAAGTTTTTGAAAATTGTAAATGAAATTACTGACATTTATGTTGCTCAAAACTTATCCGTTAATAAATATTATGTTTCGATCATATTCAGCAATTATAAGATCACAAATCTTGCACACTTACTAAAGGAGATGATTAGTTTCTTTCCGCCAATTATTAATTATTATACAAATTAAAGTGAAATTTCGATCGCATATCGAGATTCTGCGATCACAAGATTTGTTCGATATACTTTCATTTATTTCATATTTTCATTCATTCCGAACTTCCTTAAAACTTCTCAACTTAAGTGATCGCAAGTTGAAGCGTTCCTTCGAAGACTACATTTGTTTCAAGCTCTACAAGTTTAGGTTTAATGGACCTTCAATATTATCTATATTTCTGAATAAACAAAAGAATTGTTTTCCTTCCTTCTAAAACTTCGTTTAAAACTCCACTAGATTTCTAATGAGTATCTGAAAGAGTAATCTATTCTAATCCAACTCATGATAATACGATTGATGATTTTCAGATTTAATCTTTACTCTCTCGACTACACAAAACTTTTAGTTCTTGACAAGAGTTAGTTCCATGCTAAAAGAAGTTAAAGCTTCTTCAAAATCAATCTTACTTAGCATCCACTCCACAGACTATTGAAATTCCTACCTTCGTTCAGGAATTCATCAAGATTTTGAATCGGGTCAAGTGTCGCTACAATTCCAACTGTCTTAATAAGAGTGATAATATTTGATGGCAGTTTTGGCGTCTTAATTGGGACTCAATTAATGGGGACTAAAGATGTAGAATCAAAGAAGTCGAAAAGTATATGAAAATAGATCAGGGACGTGGAAATATATGCTGCAAATAGTTAAATGATTTGCAGCCCTAACAGAAAATTTACAGTCCCCATTTATTTCAACTAAGTTCAAAAAGTCTTGAAATAGATACTTTGAAAAATGTTATTCCAGAACAATGTGTTGGACTGGTAAATTCCACCTCTAATAGGAATGATAGCAGAGGGTTTTAATCATCGTACTTAGTTCTCAATTAAGATCAATCTAGTCCAAATCTAGATGGAAATAGATCAACAAGATCTTGATTTAAATGCAGAAATTGGCTTCATTATAAACTGGGTTAGTAGATCATTTAAACTTCGATATTCTCTAAACTATGTTCCGAAAGTGTGGAGGGACTTTGAAAGGTGTTATTCCAGAAGAAGGTCCAGAAAATAAGGGCTTTAGCAGAATCAGTTAGCATACAACTTGATAGTAATAATTGCAGCTGCTGTTAGTCATCGTATTTAGAACTCAATTGAGATGATCAAAATGTCTAAAATTATCTGGAAATAGATCAACGAGATCGTAATTTTAATGCTAGCTTTAACAGAGTATAAAAATTACTGTTTTTGTCTCAACTATAGATCTTGGCAACCTCCAATTCAACCTATATTATTAGGAATGATAGCAGCTGATATCAGTTATCGTACTATCTAAAAAAGATCTTACCTTGAATTTAGTATGATGAGCTTTTTAACTCCGTATTCTCTCATTAATATTCAGAAAGTATTGAGAAATTAATGAAGAGTTTCCATAAACTCAGAAGCAGGACAACTGGATAAATAAACTCAGAAGCAGGAAAAGAGCTTTGCCTCTAAAAAGTCTTGATCACAAAAAGAGACGCAAGAAAATGCAGGATGCTCTAAACTATTTTATCCTATAACTACTTGCTAAATCAATTAATTTTGAACTAGTGGTTAAAGATGTAGATGGAATTGTGAAGAAGTCCTGGACAAACTTGAGGGAATCAAATATGACTACATCTCTAATTAGAATACTGAACGTTCAAGGCCCTTTGTCGATATTTAACTACAAAGGCAGGGAATCGAATAATTGGATTAATGATCACGTTCTTTCATTAAAACCATGAACTGGTGTCTAATTGAAGTCATATTCCAAGAATAGGTTCCCAGGACTAAGATTATTGTTGGTTATATCGCGTATAAGTCTTGGTTTGCCAAATCAAGCCCAATGAATGATAATTTGAAAACTTAAGTGTTACATCTTAGATATGCAATTGTCCCATCTTGTCTCCAAGCTTAAAAAGAAAGTCTGTGAACTTAGAACTATTAATGTTAAGAGCTTTTTCTTGTCGGGGAGGACTCTGAACGTTGGCTAAGTGTTAATTAAATGTTTTGATATTATTTGTAAGCTTAGCATGGTTCTGTAACTCCAATTACCAATCAGACTTTTGCTAGGTGTGGGGCTTCTGTCCTAGTACTCTGTTATCTGTTCCAAGGTCGTTCCAAGTAAAATATTCGCGAATGTGTTTTGTGATTGAATTTTTAAATGTTTACCATGTTACACTAGCTTTATTTTTGAACCAGTAAGAGTGAGTGAATCAAAAAGCTACAGACATTCATTGGATCATTTTCAACACACACTGTTCGTTAAAAAACTACAGTTTGCGCAGCAGGTCTTTTTCATAAAATTTGTATCTGTCCGGTTGAACCAGTCTTTAACATCTTTTCATTGATTTTTTACACGTTTTTTTTTTTTTTCTTTAAAATTTTTACTTTTAATCTATTGTTGTTGCTGTTTTGACTCTTATAAGTTGACTGTTGAGGTGTGAGATACTCACAACAACTATTACGGACATCTCTAAGACCGGTTGTTATTACTATGATCATTAAATAGGCGCATATGTTTGTTGCCGATCCATCCATCCATTCATGTAGTCATACAACAGCAACAACTATTTATAGTTGTTTGGACGTTTGAAATGAAAAGTGATAAAACCACAAAAACCAGAAAGAACCTAAATTTTATTTCAGAAATGTGTGTCAAATCAACAATTGCATATTATTATTATTGTATTTGTTAAGAGATACAGACTGATATACAGGCTCTTAAAGTTAAGTGTGTGTGTGTGTGTATGGATTTTAACTGAAATCGAAAGCTTTTTTTGTAAAGAGTTTAATGTTTTCAAAAAAATATTAAAATATTGGTTCATTTTATAAAATGCTTTATAATTGTTGTTATTGCATTTACAAAAATTGTGTAAATAAATTAACAATTTCATTTGCTTAAGCAATGAGGTGTTAATATTTATGAAAATAATAATTATTTACTGATATTAAGACGAAATTGCCAAAAGATTTCATTTTATATGAAATTTTTTTTTATTGGAAATAATGGAAAATTAGGGTCTTTTTAAAAAATTTTTAAAAATTTGAGATTTTTGAACAAAGAATATTTGAAATTTTTAACGAAAATTATTAAAAAAAAGTTACAGGAAACTTAAAATTTTTCGTTTTTTTTTTAAATTTTTAAATTTCGAAAAATTTTAAAATTTCAAAATTAAAAAAAAGTACAGAAATCTCAAAATATTTCTTATTTTGCTTTTGTTTTTAAAGTTAATTCTAAAATTTTGAAATATCGAAAAATTCGAATTTAATTTCGAAAATGCTAAATTTAAGCCAAAAATTTTCATTTTTATTTGTAGATTATAAAAAAACGAAAAAAATCTGATTTTTTAAAAGTTTTCTCGGATTTAAGATTTTTCGAACATTGAAATTTTAAAGAACAAATTTTTTAAATTTTCCCAAAAATTAAAATTATTTGTGATTTTTATGGTTTTAAAACGAATTGAAACATTCGCTATTTTCGAAATTAATTCGGACTTAATTTCGAAAATCCGAACTTAATTTCGAAAATTCAAAATTAAAGTTAAAATGTTAATTTTTCATTTATAGATTACAAAAAATACAACATTTTAAGTTTTTTTTCAATTTTTCGAACTTAAAATTTTTTGTAAGGTTTTTGATCGTTTGTTTTACATAAAATTTTAATTAAAAACAATTTTCTTTTTTATATTTTTTTTAGTTAATTTATAGTACATTTATTATTTGTTTAAAATTTACAATTTTTGAAATTTTCAAATACATTTGAATTTCTTTAAAAACAGTTTAATTTCATAAAAAAACAAAACTAAATGAAATTTGTTAAAAAAAATAAAAATTAAAAATACACAATAGAACACAGAACAAAGTAAAGTTTAAAAATAATACAAAATATTTATTAATAATTATTAAAATTTATAAGTAAAACAAATAAACTAAAACTTTGAATCCTTAAAACTTTAATGAGAAAAAGAAAACTTATTAGAAAAGTATATATATGAAGAAAAAAAACATTATTATGAAAACAAAAAAGTACAAAAACATACAAAGGAACAACTAACAAGGACTTAAAGATTATATTATTTATTTCTTTTTCATAATAATTTATATTTTTTTAAATTTTTCCACATGATAAAATATATTTTAAAAACTTTTATACTATAAGCCCTAAGATATGCACTGCTTTTTTAAATGTTTATATAAAATACACTAACATAATAATGAAATTTTCCTCTTTTTTAGTTAAGTCCTTGTTTGAACCAAAAAAAAAAAACTCCACAATAATGAAATAATAAAAAGTTTATTTTTTGTTTAACTATTTACATTTTATATAAAGTATACTAAAAAAAACAATTAAAAATAAATGTATATTTGTTTTGTATGTTTAATGATAATAAGAAGACCACAATTATTTAATACACATTTTCAAAATAAAAGAAATTTTCATATTTGCACGTTAAGACTTTTGAGATTGACAGAGTTAAATCAATGGATATTCTGACTTTATAAACATGATTTTATTCTTTCCCTTTCTTGTTAAAACAATAATTGTGCATTTAATTATTAAACATTATTTAAGTCATTTTGAAGAAGAAAACAAAAAACTAAAAAGTAATTTTAAATTGTTAAAAAATAAAATATGATAATTTAACGTAATTATATAAAATAATAATAATAAATGAACACCATCAAAGTCCTACACCTTCAGCTGTTTTAGTTTTGTTTTTAACACAATTTATTTTAATACTTTTTCTAGTGTAGAATTTTGTAAAAAAAAAAACGAAAAAGGCAAAAATTTTTAATTGAAAAGCAGAAAACATGTTTTAGTTAAGATTTTTCTTTAAGAGATTAGTTTTAAGGTTTTTTATAGAGAAAATTGTTAGTTTTTTTTATTACTTACTTACTAAATTTGTTTTAATTTTGTAAAAGTTCCTAAAATTGTTTTCTTTTTTTTTAAGTAAACACAATGATGGTTTGTTACCTCTCTTTAACAATTTTTAAAAGTGTATATTTTTGTTTTTCTTTATCTTTACTTTTCTGTCGTTACCAAGAGATTACCAAATAATTAACAGTTGTTAAGGTTTTTACAATTAATTGCAAGCGGTTAAGTTGTGTGTGCACATGGTAAAAAATTGATATTTGATGTCCTCCAGGGTACTATCTTCTTTAATAGCGGGATAAATGGTTTTCTGTAAAAGTAAATAAAACTTTTGAATACATGGACAGATAGATAGATAGATAGATAGATAGATAGATAGATAGATAGATAGATAGATAGATAGATAGATAGATAGATAGATAGATAGATAGATAGATAGATAGATAGATAGATAGATAGATAGATAGATAGATAGATAGATAGATAGATAGATAGATAGATAGATAGATAGATAGATAGATAGATAGATAGATAGATAGATAGATAGATAGATAGATAGATAGATAGATAGATAGATAGATAGATAGATAGATAGATAGATAGATAGATAGATAGATAGATAGATAGATAGATAGATAGATAGATAGATAGATAGATAGATAGATAGATAGATAGATAGATAGATAGATAGATAGATAGATAGATAGATAGATAGATAGATAGATAGATAGATAGATAGATAGATAGATAGATAGATAGATAGATAGATAGATAGATAGATAGATAGATAGATAGATAGATAGATAGATAGATAAGATAGATAGATAGATAGATAGATAGAAACTAATTGAATTAACTAAAGTTGTTTACTCACGTCCATAGTTAAATTTTGTCCACGCAAAATTTGCCAATTATCCAACATATTAGCATATTTCAAATATTTTTCATATTCCCGCAAAACCTCATAAACATGACACAGTCCTAAATAATCGTATTCCAAACCAGAATACGAACGACCAAATAAACGTAAACCTATAAAGAAGAAAATTCAATTAAAAACAAACAACAACAAAACATGTCAATCAATCATTACATTACTTAGCAATAAGTAATTCTAGCAATTAATTAATTTAAATTAAAAACTTACTTATTTCTATACTGCGCAAATACAGCTCTTCAGCCTCACGATACTTTTTCATTTGATAATTGTACAGTGAGGCCAGATGGCCTATGGACAGACCGACCTCATAATCAAAAGGACCCAAAAGATCGGTTTTAATTTTAATAGCTTTTTGATGCATACGTTCTGCCTCCTAGAAGAAAAAAAAACAAAGAAAATATATAATAATGGAATATTTCCTTGATTAAAAACATAAAAAATTAAAAAACATCTCACGTTTAATTACACGCCTTTAGTCAAGGTTAATGTAAACTTAATACATTTATTTACACCTACTCATACACACTCACCTCAAAACGATTCATTGTCTGATATAATCTTCCCAAATTACCATATAATTTTGCTGTCTGTACATTCACTTCGCCAAATACCTCCAACGATAATTGCAAAGCAAATTTATGCAAATCTTCTGATTGTTTAAGCAGCCCTTCATCATCCACACCCTCGGCCATTTTATCCAGAGCTATTTCCTCTAGCAGTAAAGCTTTAACTCTTTTGGCGGAGGCTAATTTTAAATGATCTTCTGGCACTAGATGTTTGAGTATGTCGACAGCTTTTTCAACATGATCTCGAGCACAAGTAAAATTACCGGTACTGTATTCATGCACATAGTAGGCGTATGAAAGATCTTCATGTGCTATGGCAACATGGAAGTTACGAGAACCGAAGAAAACGGGGAGATCGACGAGAGGAGTAGACAGGAACATCGAGGAGGAGGGGGAGGGACGGGTGAGAAGGAAGAAGAAGAGGCGAGCAGGGGTGCGGCAGAGGGGAGGGGGAGAACCGAAAGGGGCGGGAGGAAAAAGGAAAGGGGGGGAAAAGGCGAGGAGGGAAAAGAAAGAGGAGGGAAAAAAACGAGGGAGGGAGGAGAGAGAGAGAGAGGAAGGAGCGAGAGCGATCGAGCGAGCGAGCGAGCGAGCGAGCGAGGAGAGCGAGCGAGCGAGCGAGCGAGCGAGCGAGCGAGCGAGCGAGCGAGCGAGCGAGCGAGCGAGCGAGCTAGCGAGCGAGTCGAGCGAGCGAGAGCGAGCGCGCGAGCGAGCGAGGCGAGGAGCGAGCGAGCGAGCGAGCTAGCGAGCGAGCGAGCGAGCGATCCGAGCGAGAGCGAGCGAGGAGAGTCGAGCGAGCTAGCGAGCGAGCTATCTATCTATCTATCTATCTATCTATCTATCTATCTATCTATCTATCTATCTATTATATTTATATATCTTTCTATCAGAACAGAATATCTTGTAAATTTAAACAATTTAAATTATTTAAAAAATTCCAAATTTACTTACTTTGCCCTCGACTTAGCCTGACAAATTAACATATTTGCGCGCTGATAATCTCTTTTAACCACACAAGCTTTAGCTGCCTGACGCAATACATCAATGGCAATTCTACAAGATAAAAAATACAATAAACAAAAGTTAACAAAATATTAAAAACAAAAGCATTACCTCTCTGGTGTAGTTTCTTCCAAATTACGCATGGCAACGACACTCCACATATGACTGTCATCGTATTCATTGCGTGCAAAATACATTTCTGAGAATTGGGTATAAGTATTGGCCAGCAATGGTTTGGGTATCTCTTCCGTATCGATTTGTTTAAGTAAATCCACAATCACATCAAAAGTACGTTCAGCAGCTTTAAAATTACTTAAACCTGCCTCTGAATGTAAAAGTCTGAAGGAAAATTTATATTAAAAGTAAATATAGAAAGCAATTAAATGTAGAACCCACCTTTGTAAACAATCTAAATAAATAATTTTTAATTTCTTATCTAAAGTCATGCGTTTCAGTTTGGTGGCCACACAAGTTAAGATTTCTATACTCTCCGACAACCAACCGGCTTCGGATAAGAAAGAACCCAAACGCAGACCAAAATCAATGACATCTAAACCAACTTCGCTGGTAACCGTCAAACCTATAGTGTCGGCTTCTTGTAAAATGGTTTCATCTAGTGTTTTATCAGCAGGGCTAACACTACTTGTACTACTGTGTGATGATGAGGTTGTAGGCGCAGTTGTTGTTGATGATGTGTTTGCTGTTGCTGAGGTTTTACAATTTAAAGCTAATTTCGCCTTGGCCAATTTAGCCAATTTGGAAGCAGTCTTGTTTGTTGTTGTCATAGTTGATGTTTGTGCTTTGACAACATCATTGGCGGCGGGTGTTTGCTTATAACGTCCTGTATAGGTCTCTTTTAATTGTGATGCTAAAGGTTTGCCTCTACTTATTAAAGTAGCCAGACATAAAAAGAGTTTCTGACGTGCTGGATCAAAACGCAATAAACGTTCGAATATCTCCAAATCAGCCATTTGCTCAAATAGCATGTCTTTCAAATCATCTCGTTGGGACATCTATAAGGAAATTAAAAAAATTAAAACAATAAGGAAATTATTTCAACAACAGCCTGTAAAAGTTATTAGTTGGCTAACTAGTTTATATTACAACGACCTTTCTCAATTATTGGCTAGTGTATGGGCTATTTATGTTTTTGTAAACAATTTCAAAACAATTTAATACAATTTAAATCATATTGTGTATTTGTTTTCATGTTTATTTATTTACTTAAAAGTTATTGAACTTTATGGTTCGTTAGCAGTGGCAAAATTTATAATAGCAAGTGATAAAATTGTTTTATTTTCTACAAAGTACTGGAACTGGTGGCTCTAATCTTTGTAAATGCCTTCACATGGCAAAAAAAAACGTTTTAAATAATAAACAATTGTTATGTTTTTCTTTTAGAATTGTGTCGCTGTTGTATTCAATTATTCAACCACATAATAAGAAGAGTCAAGTTGTAAAGAATGTGAAACTTAAATAGATTTACAAATTTAAACAAATTAATGCAAATAATGTTTAATTTAATGAATATGTTCTTTTTCATGAAAATGAGTAGTATGGGGTCAAGTTTTATTTAAGAAAACTTTTGCTATCATGAGACTTAAACTTCTTCAGACCAAATTTTTGTGTAGTAAACTTCTGATTCTCTTGAGAATAAATTTCATTTAAAAACATTTTAGTAAAAATGTTCGTTTCGAAGTCTTTTTGCTCCCTTGATATTGACTGTTCCTTTGGAGCAGTTTTTACTTGTTTAGAAAAGATTTTGGTCTAAGGAGTTCTACACGATATTTGTGTAGAAACAAAACAGTGACGGCGAATCATTCAAAACTTGAGCTGCTCTGGATAACGTGTCCTTCATATGTAAGTATCTGGAAATAACATTGGGGATGAAGTGAAAAATGTCGGCTCCCATCTAAATGTAAATCTCTTATATATCGGGAACTTACTTAATAGGTTTGCTAATAACAAACCTTGACCATTTGGTCGAGTCGTTGGGCAGTCTGAGCATTATAATCAATATTTTTTTGTGCCTAGGAATGATTCGATTCCATGTAATCTTCTGTTTTGCGTAACATAATGGGACCAGATCATGGATCCAAATGAGTCGGTCTTATCTAAGCAGATCAAGCTTTCGCGTCCCTGTTTTCGATCCATATTTTATATATTTCTCTGGAAGAAAACTTAAGCTGATAGACGTCTGCGAGAAGTCTTTGTTTTCAAAATGCATTCTTTTATATGTAAATGTTCATCAATTTACAGCTGGCTAAACAAGAAAACACTGCAGCTAATTGACAATAAATTTATTTTGAAAGACAGTTGACAAACTGATACTAATAAAACGGTCAATTATCTGTAAACAATTGATTGAATTAAACAATTCCATGACCAAAGGAAAAAATCTGAATAAAATGACATATGCAAACGGTTATTAAACCCTTTTAATTAAAATTCTAGTGTTATTTTTGTTTAACAGGGACAACGTCTTTTAAAAAGCAATGAATTATAATTGTTATTGAATAAAAATGCTATTATTCATTTGTGGTTAGTTCTCACAATAATTGAAATTTTGCTAGGGAACCAATACAAGTTTTGCTGGCAAAGTTAGCAAACAATAAAGACATCTGTTTGAGACATATTTTATTGACGGAAAAGAACTTTAGCTATTTTTGAATATGACGTATATTTGTGTTAATTATCTGCTAAAAAATGATGAAAATTTTACGTTTTTAGTATATGAAACATCTTAAATGTTTTTATCGAAGTAATTATAAAGATAATTGTTATCTATGTGTGAACTAAAGCAAACTTTATTAGCTACAACTATGAATTAAGAAGACAAGACTCAAATTGCGCAATTTTTATAACTTTTGAAAAAGAAAGGAAACACATTTAACTTTTATTTTGAAACTTTTTATTAGTGATAATGAAAAACTAAAGAATGATCTGTAATAAATGTTGGAAGAGTTGTCAAGTTTTATTACAATTTTTGCAAGTTTTTCCAAAACTTAGCTAACAAAGTAATGCGAATGTCAAAAAATTTTACAAGTTTTAACAAATTCCAGCAGTTTGACAAGCCTATCAAAGATATATCTAAAATTAAAAAGCCCTGGCAGATCTGGTTACATACAAAAACTCCTTATATTAAAACCAAAAGGTTAACATTGAAAATCCCTTCCAAGAACTTAACCTTCAGACAAAAATCAACATTTAATTAAACAAATTACTTTGGGGGACAAAATTTAAATATATTAAAATTCACTATAAACACGAAAAGCAACAATAGTTATTAAATGTTTTAAAGTCATGCTTGTCACATGAAATGTGTTATGAATAATTAACAAATTTTTTGTCGGGGGAAGAAGCTTTCAACATAGATAAAACTAAACATTAAACTTGCGGCGTTGAAATTTAATCCAACAGCCCTTAACTTACCAAAACATAAATATCAATAAGCACTCCTGGTGGCAGGTAACGTAGTTGCTGGACATTATTCAAGGTTTGTTGATTGTAATTTAATTTGGTGACAAAACACCAAAGGCATCTTTCGTACAAGGTTTCGCGACTTGTCCCAGCTATCGAAATAAGCTGTTGTGCCATTATTTCTATTGTTGGTCGAAAAATATCACAGCAGCGCGCAGAGACCAGCAGCAGCAGACGACACCACACCAAAAACAACAACAATAAACACACAAAATTTTTTTAGTATTTTTTTTTCCTTCAACAACACTTCACACCTTTATTTTAATTTGTATATTTTTGCTTTTAAAATTAATATATTTTCTTTTGTTCTATATTTATAACTCAAAAATTGTATTTGTTTTTAATTATTATATATTTATTTAAACTTTTGTGCTGTTAATTTTCTTAATATTTAATAAAATCTTTAATATTTTTTACGTTTAGAGCTGCGTCTTCTTTCTCAACTGCTGATGAAACAAAGAAATCGCTAGAGTTGTAAACGAGTTGAGTATTTGATTAATGGTTACTTGTTACAATATAATAACATAGTTACTTTTAAGATACAAATTTTCTTTATAAATATAAAATTTTTATAAAACTTTCAAAATTTGTTTAAATTTTTCTATTACAAACACTTTTTCTAAAATTTTTTATATTTTTATACGCATCAAAAATTTTATTTTAAAAAGTAACCAAAACATTGCTATAGAGTACTCACACTTTTCTCTTATTTACAACACTACCGTTAAATGTTCCTGTCTTTAGTACACATAGTTGTATTTTAAGGGTAGTAGATGAAAATTATTGCAAATCAGGGGAAATTGATAGCTTTAAATATTGTAAGTGTTTCAATTCCATTTGTTTAGGATTTTTTTATAATCTTTCTTCTAAATTTTAAAATAAACGTTGAATTAAACAATTTTAAAGTAATTAGTCTAATGTTTCCAGTATATATTAATAAATTTAACTAAATTTTTACCTAAACAGGTAAAAAACGTAAGTAAATAACGATGGTTTAAATACATATATTGGTTTTTAATGTGTTTTGTAAGGGATTATTTAAATTATTAGCGAATATAAATGTTTTTTTTGGCATTGTTCATTTACACAGTTATAACTAAAATGAACTTGAATTCAAAGTTTTGTAGAAAACCTCTTGATAACAGGAGGTTTTGAGTTTGATTTGTATTCATCTATTTAAATAACTTTTTATACTTTTTGTTACGATTGGCCACCATTTCAAAACCGTTTTATGGGTTTTTTATAATTGCTTTAATAATATTCCCAGAAGGCCTTGATACATGTACTTAATATAACATTTTTACCTAAACAGGTAAAATATTAATACAAATAACCAAAACAGTAATTGCTTACAAATCATTTACTTTTAAATGAGCTTTGTTTCATTAAAAAAAGGGTTACTTTTATTACTTACATGTATTAATGGAAAGTTTTGTATGTGAAGACTACTGTCTACAAAAATTTACAATAACAGGATTTTTTCAAGAAATTTTTAGTAATGAAATCAGAATTTTGGTTTTACAATATTTTATTGTCAAAATTTTAGTATAGCTAATGATATTTTAAGTATAAGGCAACAAATTGAAGGTTATAATATTCTTTTTTTTCGTATTTGTTAATGAAATTTTATATGAAGGGATTTATTCAAAACAAATATTTAAACTTGTTTTTATTATGAAATAATTTTTGGAATAAAATATTTTTAAAATGTGCGATTAAAAGTTAAACAATATATATTTTAGACATTTAAAGAGTTAATTCTATGTTATAGGTATGAAAATGAAAGCTTATTATGCTGTCTATATAATACTTAGAAAATGTATATGGATCACTTATAGACACTTTTCCAAAAAATACACTTTTTAACTTTTGACATTCAGTGGACTTATGAACTTTCACATCATATCAAATAACGCATATTTTTACTCAACTATAAGAGAGCAAACAAAAAAATGTACTATCCGTGAAAAATATTAAAAAAATGGAACCATTTAAAGGAGTTAGTCACTACGATTAATAATACTTTCGGTCTAATCGTTCAGTATTTACAAATATATTTCATGTATTTTTTCTATATTCTAGAACAAAATAATTTTTTAATAAAAAATTTTAAAATCAAAACTTTTATTATTTTCTCGATAGAATTTTCCACATAACTTTATTTTGGCATGAATTTCTATATAAAAAAAACGCTAGATTATTTATACTATTTCTTAGTGGCAACCATAATAACTTTTTGTTTACATATGGCAGTACCGTAAAAAATGAAATAAATAGTTCATAAACAATTAAAATAAACAACGAGTAAACACAACAATTTTAATAAATACAGAGTGTAATTCAAAGATTCTTAATAATATTTCAAATAAATATTGCTGTAATTAAACATTTGAATGTGATTTAAAAAAATTCAAATAAAAAACAGTTAGAATTAAAGAGTTTATTCCGCAATAAACAGCTCAAGAGTGGCAACCTTGTTTGCTACAGCTTGTTACTATATGGCAATGCTCTATACTTAACAAATACAGTTATTTTTTTGACACAGTGAATGATTAGCAAAAAGTTTTCTAAGAAAAGTGCAAACAAGTTTTAAATGATTAAATTTTTATTAAATAGAAAGTAATAAGTGTTAAAAAAGTGTTAAAAGTACTATAAATTTAAAATTTTATGAAGAATATAAAGTTGGTAAGTTTTTTTTTTGTTTTTTTATTATATTAACTAAATAAATCCAACATATCACTTTCCATTGGTATGAGCGCAAAATCTGAGGCATTACCAAACATCCACCAGTGCCTTAAAATGTTGCGTATTAAAATTAAACGTGTTGCAATAAACTCAAAGAAATGAAAGAATAAGGCACCTGTAAATATAAAAAGCATGATAAAAAATCAAATTTTCTTTGGAGTAGTAACTTGTTTACTTGAAGTCATTAAGGCACTAGAAGCCAAAACCACTTCCTTTATGGTCAATTGTTCTTGGGGACTTAAATTGATATTTTCCATGCATATGACCACCTGCTGTAGTATAATGTGAGTTAAGGGCAGTAGGGAGATGCTATAAAGCAAGTGTTTGGCTATGGGAGCAAAGCAATGGCCAAAAAATGTTTTCACCATGCGCCGTAAACTAAATTTTTCCTCTGGTATATTAAAGGTAGCATTGCAAATCTCACAGTGGTTATCACGTCTCTGCATAATCCATCTTTTTAAACATTGCAAGTGTATAAAACCCTGACAGAGATTTTCTTATAAGAATTTTGTGTTTTTATGAAAGTAATTGATAAACTTACCACACTACCTTTGCACAGGCAGGGACATTTAGTTATTTCCATATCACTGCGATTCCAACGACAAATACGACATGAATGGTTAAATTCATTACTAGATCTAATGGATTCTATAGAATTTTGTTGCATAGTTTGTGCAGTTTGCCTTTGTAAGACAAAAACTTGTCTTTCGCTAGCTTGGTCTGAGGCCACTATACTATTAAATAAACGTATGGCTGTTGCTTCCGAAAGAGCATGTATTATTTGATTACTTGTGGACATTTCTTTTTGGAATAGGCACAATATATTTTGTGCCAATATTTTGTTTTAAATTTGAGGTAATTTGAAAATTTATATATGATTAATTTTGGTACATTTTGTTTTTGATTTATATTTTATTAAGTTTGTCAAAAAGTATAATAGCAAATTTTTTATTTTCATACAGTAGAAGGGTCTTAGGCTAAAGAAACCCTTTGAGGATCAAATTTGTGTTTGTATTATTTATAAATGTGGTATTATTGTCAAGCAACTCTTCTTGTAGTTGATATTGTTTGTTTCGTCATCTAATTAGTTTTTGGATCATCATCTAATTAGTTTCTTTTGTTGTTTTTGTTTTTATATGGGTTTTTGATTGACTTCTCTGTAACGATGGTTACTTCTCGGTGACCGCTATGGAATTTACAAATTACATCTGTTTCAATCTTTGTATGTAGCAGATATAACTTGAAAAAGCTTAGTATTTTCAGATTCAAAATTTTACACGAAATAGAAAATTTCACTAGAATTACGAAATTTTACTAGAAATTCAGAACAAGAAATACGAAATTCCATTAGAAATCTTTCGTTTCGAAATTTCACTAAATATTATAGATAATTTCGAGATTTCTGTTGGAAATCGAAATTGCAGTAAAAATTTCACTAGAAATTAAAAAATTTCACTAGAAATTAAAATATTTCACTAAAATTACATAAATTTTACAATTTTGAAACCAGAAAATCAATAGAAATTTTTTATTTTATTAAAAATTTCGAAATTTGTCTAGAAATTCGAAATTTTCTTTAATTCGAAATTTCATAATAATTTTAAATTACACCAGAAATACGAACTTTCACTAGAAATTCAAAATTTCACTACAAATACTAAATTTCACAAGAATTTCGAAATTTCACTAGACATTTAAAATTTCACTAGAAATACGAAATTTTACTATAATTTCGAAATTTCACTAGAAATTTGAAATTTCACTAGACATTCAAAATTTCACTAGAAATTCAAAATTTCACTAGAAATACGAAATTTTACTAGAAATTCAAAATTTCACTAAAATATTAAATTTCTCAAAAGATCGAAATTTCTCCTTTGCTAGAAATTCAAAATTCAACTAAAAATTCAACTTTGAAATTTTACAAATAAATTCGAAATGTTTCTACAAAATAATGTTTTATTAGAAATTCGAAATTTTACTAGAAATTTGAATTTTCACTAGAAATTTTGAAATTTCATTACAAATTCTAAATTTTAGCCGAAATACTAGAAATTAATTTGAAATATCACCAGAAAAATGTTTTTTACTATAATTTCACTAACAATTTAGAATATCACTAAGACTTTGAAATTTCATTAAAACTTAGAAATTTCACCAAAAATTCAAAATTTTACTAGAAATTCGTAATTGCGCCAGAATGAAATTTCACTAAAATTTAAAAATTTTAAATTTCACTAGAATTCAAAACTTAACCAGAAAATCTTTTTACTAGAAATTCGAAATTGCACAAAAAATTCAGAATTCCACTAAAAATTTTACACTTAAAGTTCAAAATTTAACCAGAAAATATTTTTTTTCTAGAAATTTGAACTTTCACTAAATATTGGAAATTTGAAATTTCACCAGAAATTTGAAATTTTACTAGAAATTTGAAATTTCACTAGAAATTCGAAATTTTACTAAAAATTTTAAATTCGATAGAAATTTCACTAGAATTTAAAATCGTTTTACTATAAATTCGAAATTGCACAAAAAATTCAGAATTTCACTAAAAATTTTAAACTAGAAGTGCAAAATTTAACCAGAAAATAATTTTTTTTTTTCTAAAAATTTGAAATTTCACTAAATATTCGAAATTTCACTAAATATTCCAAATTTCACTAGAAATTTAAAATTTCACCAGTAATTTGAAATTTCACTAAAAAATTGAAATTTCACTAAAAATTTTAAACTTCAATAGAAATTTTATTAGAAATTCGTAATTGCACCAGAATGAAATTCACTCAAATTCGAAATTTTTTCCAAAATTTTTAAATTTTGTTATTAGGAATTTGAAATTTCAATAAAATTATAAAAATTTCACTAAATTTCTGCCGCTTTATGAAATAAAACACTTACTTTCTCTTTGAATGTTAATATTTTTTTATTTATTTATTTTTCATTCTTATCGCAAAAGTTAGTCGAATATATAATTAATAATAAAAAAATTGAGCTGCAATTCCCGGTTTGATTTCGATCAAAAGGTTTGCAAAAAAATAAATTCTTTTTTTACTTGTTTAACATGTATAAATTTTTCACATTAATTATTTTCTTTAACAAAAACATAACAAAAAGCAATTAAATAAAACTGACAAAATAAATCGTTTAAAAATGTATTCAAAAATAATATGAATTAAAAATGGTTAGTACATACTAGAAAATAATAAATTCAAAGTAGAAGAAATAATAAAAAATAAAATGAGAAATACAAAACAAATTACATATAAATTAATAATTACACAATAATATTAATATGAGTATCTAAACAATATTAAATAATCAAAGACAAGTTTCATTTCGGTTTTTTGTTCAAATCAAGAGATTTTGTAGTTAAAAACAGTAGTAACAATAAATTGAACAGTTTCTTTTTTCAAAACTTTACAAAACTATTTTTTTTTTTAATTGTAAAATGAGCAACAAGTTTGAATAAAAAATGTAGTAAAATAATAGTAGTAGTAAAGGTAGTTATTTGTTTATTATTTATTATATTTGTTTTATAGAGTTATATAATTGATATTGCTTTGTTTGATTAGTAAACATTTCGTTGAGGGATTTGATTGCGATTTTGGTTTTGATTTGTTTGATAATGGTGCTGTTGTAGTTGTTTAGCTAAACGTTAAAATCGTTTAACTTTGATTTTTGTTTATTGGCAATTGCGGAAACGACGATAGATGCTTTGTACATAGACAAAAACACATTTCCAATCGGGCCGTTGCATCACAACCATATCTTCAACATCTAGTAAGGGGGCAATGCCGGCTTTCTCACTGTAAAAAGTAAGGTTTTAGAAATTAGAATAATTATTAAATTTATAAATAGTTAATTTTTAAATAGTCGAAATATGACCGACTATATGATTCTCTACATCAATTGTAAAGCAAACTTAATGGAATTACTTTTTTAATAAATAGTCATCTGAGACTGTAGAAAACAGTTTAATATACCGAGTGCTGCTCAGTTTAAAAGTTTTGCAAGAAAGATCGTGTGTTTAACTGACATTTTTGTAATGTAGAAAGAAATAAAAAGAAAAAAATCAAATTCGCTTAATATATTTCCATAAAAAGAAATTAAAAGAAAAAATTCCGTATGTGATTAATATTTTTACCAAGTAGGAAGAAATAAAAAGAAAAAAGTTGCAAGTAAATCGAACACGAGGGCTACGTTCGACGGCATTGCGATCTAAAGTTTTGTTGCAAACAGTTTAGCATATCGAGTGCTGGTCAGTTTAAAAGTTTTGCAAGAAAGATCTTGGGCTTAACTGACATTTTTGTAAAGTAGAAAGAAATAAAAAGAAAAAATTCACATTTGCTTAATATATTTCCATAGTAAAGAGAAATTAAAAGAAAAAATGCCGCATGTGGTTAATATTTTTGCCAAGTAGAAAGAAATAAAAAGCAAAAAGTTAAATTTATGTCCAGAGCTACGTTCGACGAAATTACGATCTGAGGTTCAGTTACAAATTATTGCCCAATTGAATGCTGGGGCTGATATTGTTCAACTGACTCAGAAAGTGATTCAGAGAATATGCTTTTCAATACTTACTCAGCCACGGTGAAAGCTAATTCGAAATTTTTTCTTCTATTTTTGGGGGTTAGTTGACTATAATCGAAGGCATCTGGCAAGAAATGATGTATAAGGGCACAAAACGCTAAACCATTGTTCCAGCTCGTACTAAAGTTAGTTATTTCGATGTTCTACAAAAATTAAAGAAATAAAACAAATTATTAAGTAAAATTAAATGTAAAATTAATTGTAAAAAAATATCAACTAAATAAAACAGACATGCAAAAGATAAAATGTGTTTAAAGGCGAAAAAAATAAAAATATTTCAAAAATAATAATTACAGCCATCAATAAATAAAATAACAACTAAAATTTAAATCCGTTGTAAAGGATTCTTCATAATTATTTGGTTATAAAGTTAAAAGCTTAGCTGGTTGTTTTGTTTAAAGTTTAAAGCATTAAATAAAGGCCTTAAAATTACTTTAGTGGCTTAAATAAAAAAAACAAATTAAATAAATATTAAAATTTTAAACTTAATAATATTGTTTACAACATCAACATAATTAATTTGTTTATTATTATGGCAGAGTAACGAAAAATATTTGTTTAATTAAAAAAACGTCTGCTTAGTTTTTTTTTGCTTTGTAGTTGTAGTAGAATTTTGTAGTTTTTTTTTGGTAGAGAACTCTGTACCTCGTATTCCTGGGTTTTCGATTGACACCACTGTAACAATTGTTCCTTGACAGTGGCCGCTTTAGCATTTAGGGCTGGATCGGTAAATCTGAATATGGGTTGTTTACCAGACGTTGGTGAGGCAGTTGAGCCGCCTCCAGGTGTTGTCGGTGTTGTTGGTAATCTGAACAACAAATGATTTACATTTATTCTATATTCTATACTTTTTGTTTTTATAGATTTTTTGTTTATTGAGTTTTAATCAATTCATCTTGTAAATTGATTATATTTTGTAATTATTTATATTCGTTTATTTTTTGTTGTTGTTTGGTTAAACAATAAGAAAAACTACTACATATGTATGTACTTTGTTTATAGGTATATATAAGTTTTTTATAAAGATTATTATATTGTGTAAAATTTAATTATTTTACTAACTACTAAGACCTGTTAACTTAATTTAAGGAAATTTTAATCACAGATTTACTAGTTTTGTAATAAAGGTTTAAATTTTAGGCCTAAAATGTTTATACGAAATTAATATTTTTTTGAAAAGATTTGGCGCAAAATTACCACCTACGTGATCGAATAAGTTTTTGTATCGAAACATACATCTGTATATCATGTCTCAAAATGAAAAATTAGGACTAATATCTTCATCACGTATGCGCTAATTCGTCACCTGATTTTGTATTCGTATTTCTTTAAACACTATTTTTTAATTTAGAACAAAAAGCTCAAAATGTTAAAAACCAATTCAGTCATTCCAGTTTAAAGTTCCGATTAATATAGACCAAAACCAGAGATTTACTATTATAGAACTTAAAAATTAATAATATGTTTCTAATAAATACCAAACACCTTTAGGCTATAAATACAAATGAGATGTAAGTGCAATATTTTTGTAATATAGTTTTGATAGAGAGATAGAAAATATTTCATTGAGTTGGTTTCTTGTTGTTTTGTTTGTTTTTTTTTTTAATAATTATTATTTAAATTATTTGCTTACTTTGCAGATTGTTGTGAATTTTGTCTGTCAAGTTGTTTAAATTTGGCAAATGGTGATGCAGGCTTCGCTGCTGAACCCGTGACAGTGCGTGTAGTAACTGCAAAGTGCATTAAAGAAAAATGTTAATTAAAAAAATTTGGTCTAAAATTTATTTAAGCTAAAGATAAACTTTTTTTGATAAACTTTACTTAAACTAAAGATAAACTTTGTGTAAACTGTTAGTTGGAAAACGTACCTTATAGACTATAGTCTAGTCTGTAGTCTAGTCTACAGTCTAGTCTATAGTCTAGTCTGTAGTCTAGTCTACAGTCTAGTCTATAGTCTAGTCTGTAGTCTAGTCTACAGTCTAGTCTATAGTCTAGTCTAGTCTAGTCTATAGTCTAGTCTAGTCTATAGTCTAGTCTATAGTCTAGTCTATAGTCTAGTCTATAGTCTAGTCTATAGTCTAGTCTATAGTCTAGTCTATAGTCTAGTCTATAGTCTAGTCTATAGTCTAGTCTATAGTCTAGTCTATAGTCTAGTCTATAGTCTAGTCTATAGTCTAGTCTATAGTCTAGTCTATAGTCTAGTCTATAGTCTAGTTATGGTCTAGTCTAGAGTTATTAATGGTGAAAAAGTACTATTTTTAGTACCATTTTATAATTTCAGACTTCTATGCCTGTCATTAACTGAATGCCCCTAATATTTCAACACGAAATAATTACCTTTTGTTGTAGTAGTTACAACTGCTCCATCTTTGTCTTTCGTTTCAGTTTTCTCAGTAGTCGATGTAGAAGATTTTTGTTGTTTTTGTTCTATATAGAAAACAAAGGAAAAAATTTAAGACAAAAAAAACAAAAACTTAACAAATTGATTAAAATCTATGTTAAAGCCAAAAAAATAACGTAGAAAGGAAAAAACAATTGGCATGCAGCATGTTGCAACTTAAAAAGTACTAGTATTTTATATGTAAGACGAAAAAAATCTATCAATACTTTAATACTAAACATACAGATATCGACATACAATAAAAACTATAAACTAATTAAAATAATTAATTATACAGACAAATTGTCAAATTCATAAACAGTGTCGTAACTTTGTGGCATTATAGGTCGTATTTAAAAAATTAAGACATAATGATACAACTTTACGACACCTATTGTGAATTGAAATAACATAAAAACTCTAATATACGAATACGTATATTATTTATTTACATAAACTAAAATTCTAAGTAAAAATAACTAACAAAATGAATGCAAAATTTGTTGGTTTTAGCAGAAAACGAAAAAAAAACGATTTTTAGTTAAAAATATAATGAGATAATTTGAAAAGTAGAAAAAATGCCAAAAATATACCACCCATTTTTTTAAATTTTCTTAAGGTGATTTTAAATATGATGAGCATGCACAAACATGAGTGGGTTGTTTAAATAATGATAAATGAAAAAAAAAATATTTAACTTAAATAAATATAATAAAAACAATAAAATTAAAAAAAACGAGGGACAAAAACACAGTTGATTTCATTTCACTTAAAAAAATATATAACAAACAGAAAAAAAAGAGAAACAAAACGTAAATTCCATGCTAAAGCTTCCGCAATTGGTGTTCGTTTGGGCAAACGTAACATATAAATTAAAGAAATATTTACAATTTTCTTAAAATCAGCAATTTACAAACAGCTGAAACACGGTCACAATTTCATGTTTTTGGGATTTTGTTTAATTATTAAAAAAAATAAATTTGTTGATTTAGTAGTAGTAGGTGGCAGTTTTTTTTTTGGTTTGGGTTTAATTTTTTTTTTTTATAATTTGATATGTACAAAAGTTTTACAGAAGGAGGGACATCATGATTGGTTTATTTTTGATTGTTTTGTGAATATTTTTATTAATAATTTTGAAATGTTTTTTTCAAATTGTTTGTTCGATTATTATTTAATGTGGTCAGTAGCACTTGGTAGATTATTTTGATGTAAAAAAAAGCACTGTTTATGATTAATTTATAACAAAAAACGCAGCTATAAAGGAAAAAATTATAAAACATAAGGTTTAAAGTGAATTTTGTTTTTAGATTGAATTTAACTTTGTTTTGTTTTAGAAATAAAAATTCCTACAATTTAGTTAAAACTAGTGGCAAACTCCTGTCAACTACAGGATTTTCTTTTTAAACCTAATAATCTGTGTCTTTCTATTTATGTCACCTGTCATTATATTTATGCCGCCTGTCATTATATTTATGCAACCTATGTGACCCTAACAAATGTAATATATGTATGTTTTGGTCCATAGTTTAAGACATCTTTTCAAAGCTTTTAAATTATTAAGAGACGTGTTCAATACTTCATTATATTGCTTATGATTTCGAGGATTCGCTTTACAAATTGATAAATCTTTTAAGATTTTTTCTAAAATTTCCATTTTATAGGGTCTTTTAGGAGTTTCGGAACATAATGGCCTTTTAGAGCGACCATATTGTTTAAGCAATAGCTGTCAATTTGGTTGACAATCATTCAATATGTCTTCGGCGGTTATGTGTTCTGTTCGGAAAGAAATAAAATTTCTGATGAGATCTTAGAGCTTACGGAAATATCATAACTTTGTAGTAGAATTCGGGCTGATCTCTACTTTATGTTGGCGATCGTTATAGAAACATTCTTCTTTTGCACTAAAAGCCCATTTTCGGCGAATCAAAATTGTCGCATTTGAAACGATCTAAGAATATCTAATGTATTCCGAAATATGACCGTTTGCAATGGCTGGTCCATATATAGCGTCCGTCACCGTTAACGGCCAGCGCTATAGGCCGTTGATAACCAACTTATTTTATACTGAAGACCCGCTTTGCTTGATGAGGCCCATTTCCAGATGAATGGAAAGTAATGAAACAAAATTGTCGAAGGTGGGGGGACCATACCAATCCACATGTGATCCAAGAACGTCCAATGTATGCCAATGTATGTCGAATTTTAGGCGATAAGATACGAGAACATCCACTGTATCCCGAAATACGAATGTTTGGAATGGCTAGTCCATATATCGCGTCCGTGACCGTCAACGGCGAGCGCTATATGTTGTTAATAATCAACTTATTTTGGAGTGAAGACCCGGTTTGAACGATGAGGCCCATTTCTATATGAATGGAAAGTTAAGAAGCAAATTTGTCGAAGGTGGGGGGACCATACCAATCCACATGGGATCCAGGAACGTCCAATGTATGCTAATATGACACGGTTTGGAGTGGATTTCATACTGAACGCTACGCGTTGCTCATACCATCACCGTTAGGGCGAGCCGTATAGGTCGACAAGACAGCAATACTTGGCTCACAGCTCATGAAACATTGCACATTTTGATAATCGAAGTTTTCTTATGTCCAGACATATGTGAGTTAGAAACTAACCACAGAGATCCTCAAAGTAAAGCCTGACTTTTGCGTCAGAATCAAGGAAAATTCAACCATTCGGAACTTCTATTTGGTATCGATAGACCTTCCAAACAAACAGCTTAAGAAAAGTACCCTATAGATCCGATTTTTCAGAATAAAAATTATTTTTTTTTTTTTCTAAAAATACGACTTTTCATTAAAAACTCGATTCACTGAAAAATTGATTTCTAGGCACTACCCATCTCCTTCAGATCTTTAAGAACTGTCTTCTTTAAAGAGTATAAACTAAGGGGTTTTCTTAGAAGTAAAAGGTCTCACTGTCCATAACTCGCTCATAATTCTAAGATTTATATTAAAACTTTAAATCTTCAATTTTAACTAAAATTCACTTTAAACCTTTTTTTTGAACTGAAATTTCAAAACAAATTGTTAATACGAATTTTAAATTCAACAATGAACGATCAAGCAAAACAAATGAACAATTAAGTAAAAAAAACGAGTTTAACAAAAATTATCAAAATTTTATAAAACATTTTTCTTTTTTCAACATGCTTCATTAAAGGCGTGGATTAGATTGAACGACGTTAAAATCAGGATAATTGCAGCTAAAACATTATTATTATTTCTATTTTTTATTTTCTTCTACAATTTTAATCAACTCACAATTAATAGTTATAAAAACAGTGTTGCATTTGTTGTTTGTATTTTTGTATACAGTTGGTTATATTTCTACACAGAGTTGCATTTGTTTTATGCTGAAACGTTTTCAAAATGCACGCACGCACACATAGACAGACTCGACGACGACAGTGCCAGCGATATATAATGTTGTTATTTTTACTTTTTATCGTCTTGCAGAAAATGTTGTTGATATATAGAGTCCATAAATAATAAAATCTTGTTGATCACGTAGTGAATGAGTGAGTGAGTAGGGGGAGGTTGGTCAAACTTAGTGCAAGTTGCTTGACGTTGTCGCGTCATATTGTGCTCATTTTTTCAAAATTATTTTCTTGATTTTTTTTTAAGTAAAATTAAATTAAGGCCACAACAATAGTGTTTAAAACTTAAAAAAACAACAACATGAAGTCCCTCAACTTCCGTTTATGGGCGGGTTTGGTTTTTAAATTTTAATAAAAAAACGTTAAATTTCGTTTTAGTCTTGTAATAAGTCGCACGCGCAAAAAGTAAAATTGTTTTGTTTAAATAAAAAATAAATAATAATAAAATTGGTATAAAAACTATAACTAACTATACAGGATTTTTAGAAGAAAAAATATCAAAAAAATAGAGCATTAAATCAATATGATGATGGACCTTAAGAAGAGTTGTTAGAGTAACTGAGTTTTATGTTGATTTAATTTTTTTTAAATAAACGCTGTGGAATGGCTGCTGCTGCTGTTGTTGTTGATATTATTTAGTTTTAAAGCCGGCTTTTAGATTTAGAGAGTTGCCTTCTTTTTTATATTTACATTTACAATTTTTTCTTAGCGTTTTTACGAACCCATCATCAATTGTTCGAAAGCATCCTCCACATTGCTTTCATCCAACAGATTTAGATTAGCTATGTGCGGCATAGTTGCACTGCGTTGCAGACCCCCCGGTGCAATGGGTAGATTTGTACCTAATGATTTACGACTGGCAGCCGATACTTTTTCACTGGTTTTGGTGCGATTTATTACCGAACGTTTAGTGGTCTGTTGCTCCACTAGAGTTTCCTGTTGTGTGGGTGATTTTTGTCCCGAGAAATAGGCAGCCACGGTCTTTTGTTTTTCACTGATATCGGTTTTAGTCATGGCAGCTTCATACATTTTGGGTAAAGCTAATGTATGACCCGATTTAGTGCGTCTCAATTCATTGGTGGGACTTTGATTGAATTTTGTTGTATTGGTGGGTACATGTTGGTTTTGCAGCATTACGATTTGATTCCAAGAATCAGATTTACTCAATTTATTCGGTCTAATGGTATGATGTTGTTCTTGGGCCGTTGTTATACTTTCATCTTCTTGACGTCGATTCATTGATGTGAAAGCATGTACATTATTAAAGACAATATTTCTAGGTATATAATCATCATCGGGCTGAGGTGTGGCGGGTGTTTCCATAACGGTGGGTTTGATGTGATTTACAATCTGTTGAGTTTTTACCACAGTTTGATTGGTCATCGAGTGTCCGTCTTTGCCTTGTATCTTTGTGGAGTGTGTGGCGGTAGATACAACCGTGGAAGATGCTGTAGTATTTGCACTTGGACTCTGATAAGCATTGGGCATATAGTGATGTCTTTGAGGTGGTCCAAACTTTTTAAGTATGGGTTGGTTTTCATCTTTGGGTAGGGAAGATTTCACAATATCGGGTGTGTCTGCAGGAGCTGACGATTTGTACTCTTGACTGTTTTGGGTCTCATATCGTGCTTGTTTCTCCATTTGATAGTCCAGAGCATTTCCCAAACTCTTGCGTCTTATATCATTCGATATACGTTCGCGCTGTTGATCTAAACGGTCAAGCATTTCTTGGGAAATATTTGAATGTTGTGGATTTATTACAGTTTGATCTTTATGTATACTGTGATGATCTTCACTTACTGTCTTACGCATGCTGGCCAAAGATCTTTTCTCTTGCGTGGTTGAGGTTGAAGTTGCAGTTTTTGTTGTGGTTTTTGAGTTATGTTTTGGATAATCTGTTGGTTTTTGTGTTACTGGAGGTTTTTGAATTCTTTCGGGAGCTTGATGTTGTGTTGGTTGTTGCGTTTGTACTCCATATGATGGTTTTGTGGCAGATTGCTTTTGATTTGTAGTATTTTGGTATTGTTGCTGTTGCTGCTGCTGTAGTTGCAATTGTCTTTGAGATTTAGCTTCATATGATGATTTTGTGGTAGGCATTGGTGGACTTGTAGGCAGCTGTGTGGCAGCTGGTGCTCCATAATTTGGCGTTGGGACTTGCTGTTGAGCTGGCATAACCGGCATTTGTCTTTGGGGTGGTGCTTCATATTGAGCAGCCGTCTTTTTATAATCCGAAGGCGGTGGATTATAATTTGAATTTTGATTGACACTTGTATAACTTGTTACCACTTGACTACTAAGAGCTTGATAGGTTGGCTCTGCTGTTGAAGGTGGTAAATGTTTATGGGGATTCTGATAAGGTGTAGGCATACTTTGATAATTACTAGATTCATCTACCACAATGGGATTCGATGTCCAACTAGTATTGGGTGATGGTAAATTTTGACTAAATGACATGGAAGCTGTAGTTGAACTACCAGTTGAATTTTCCGATACATTGCGTTGTCTTCTTAGATCCAAACTACTGGGTGGCATTATCTTCTTGTGGCTCATCCGACTGAAATCTTCATCGTCTGTGGTGTCCTCAACGGGGTAAGTAACAACATAAGAGGTTTGTGTTTCACTTACATAAGGCTTAGGTGAGGGCTGTTGTGTTTCTCTAACATAAGGCCTAGGTGAGGGCTGTTGTGAAGTAGTTGTGGTCATAAAATTGGTCTGATTTTTGTTCGTGTTTCTATTTAGATTTTCCATACTCTTATACATACCCAATTGTTTGCGCGGTGCTGGTTGAGGGTATATTGGAGCAGTTGTTTGCTTTTTGGACTCAGGGCTGAAAATTGGTTGACGATTAGCCTCAAATTTATTTATATCTGGGAACAAAGGCTCAACAATGGGTGCTTGATAGGAGCGACCATCTGGGGAGAGGCAAGTTTTTGGAGAAGTTATTGCTTCTGGACGCTTTAGCACGGGAGCCTTTGGTTTGGCCATACCATTGGGATTTCCAATACTCTTCATAGTGCTCAATAGATTTTTAGCAGCCTTTGAATTTTTGCCATACAACTCATCGTCACTAACATGACCCGTGCGACGACCCACAGTTACAGCTGTTTGACTTTGAGGTTTTCCCATTACCCGGCTGACTGCATGGTATTCCAATAAATTGCAGTCGGAGTCCAAATCATCATCTGTGCAATCAGTTTGTGGCATAGTGTATATGCTGGGACTTGTGGGCGTGCTGTCGGCTGGACTTGCCAAATCAAATTGTCTGGGTAAACGGGGTTGACTAATTGGTTGCTGCTGCAATTGTGGAGGAGCCTGAGCTGGTGGACAGTATGAGGGATTTGATGAGGTCAACACCAAGGGCACGGCATGAGGATCAGTAAGAGAGTCTTCTCTCGGTCTTTGATATTCGTTATCACTGGAGTTGTTGACTACAGCTGATGGTAAACAAGGATAACTTTGATATGTGGTTTTTGGCTTGAGATTGCTGTAAGTGAATGAAATATTTTGTGGAGGAGGCAAATAAGCCAAAGGATCTTGTTGTGGTGGCATTTGCCTAACACTATATGGATCACAGGTGTTGGGCAGCGAAGGACGTTTTCTAAAATCTTCTGAAATTTGATTGCCATTAGCTGAACGCAATGAATTGTGACGTTGTATATAAGGTCCGGTACTGTTGATATTGTCATACTTAGAACGTTCCTCAAAGCGGTTGGCCTTCGATTTGAAACTGCTGCTATCCACGGTGGGTTTAGAAGCCCAAGGTAAAGCAATTGGTGATCTAGAAGAGGGTGGTGGTGAGGTTATAAACGAATTATCTGGTTTGGTATTGCCATAATGGTTAGGAGAATTAGGTGTTAAACTGTTGCCTTGTCCTCTTGGAGAAGCAGTATTAAGAGACTGCCAAGTACTTGAGTTGCGCGGTAATTGTGGTATAGGCTTGTAAATAGGCTTTGAGGGAGAGTCAACATTATCAATCGGTCTAAATACCGATTGAGGAGCATGTTTGAATTCATTGATGGGTATAGGTTTAGGTACATTCATATTGGCAGCAGCTTGTTGAGCCGCCAATTGTTCTTGTTCCCTTAAAATGGCGGCATGTTGAGCTGCAGCTATCTGATCTTGTTCTCTTCTTTGTCTTTCGAAATGTTCACGCTCTAGGCGTTCCCTCTCCTGCATTTCACGTTGTTGCCTTTGTCTTTCCAGTTTTTCACGTTCACGACGCTCAAATTCCATACGTTCGCGCTCCAATTTTCTTCTACGCTCTTCGGCTTGACGTTCTGCTTCTTGTTGTAATCTCAAGGCGATTTGTTGATTTGTTATATAATTTGGTGGCGGTGCCGGAGCAGAATTATTGACCATTGGCTGGCTAAATAATTTGCTAGATTGATGAGGCTTTGAAGAGGACGAAACATGATGAGGAGCCTGTGGCGGCTTACCGGCTAAGCCACCCTCAAAAGTACTCTTAATGGAGCCAAATTTATTTGTCCAGTTTGAAACAGAACGTGAGGTAGTCCAACCTAAACCAGGCTTATCACTTTGCTTATTAATAAAGGCCAAAAATTTGCGATCATTTTCGGTTTTGGGCTCAAAGGGAGGTACAACATTTTGTACACGCTTCTTAACACTTACTTGTACGGCTCGTTTTAGACCCAAATGAGGACCCTTGTCTTCGGCATCCGAGTCGGTATCAAATTCTGAATTATATTTGTGAGTTTTAGCCAAATCAATGGTATTGGCACGTTTCATTAAATGCTTTTTATTGGTAAACCTAGAAAATTTCGAACTATCATCAGGTGGACTGGATGGTTTGACCACCTGTGGTGATTGCTTAGGTTCTTCGGGCTGTCTATACACTGTGGGGTTTCCAAAGGTAACCGAATATTCACCCGAAAGAGGACGGCGCTTACCATTATTCACCGTTAATCTATTGGTATAGGTAACGTTCGAAGGTTCTTCGGGTACAAATTGTTTTGGTCTTTGCAAAACGGGGGTTGATGATTGCGTTAATATTGCTCCCGAAGAGGCATTCTTCTCTAAAGGATACCACTGAGGCGGAGAATTGTTGGGGACACTATTTGCTTCAGGCGTGGTACTTTGAGAAATACTACCCATTATTAGCATATCTTCCATATAACGCCTAGCATCGGCCAATTCTTCACGACTAACACCCACCGTATGACGATTTACACGATTTCTGCGTTTAGCAAAGCGAGAACGGTTCGAACGATGAGCATCTGCCTCAGGCGAGGAAGTTTCACCATAGAGAGCTTCATTGCCGTCTAATTCGGACATGGCAGCTGCTATTTCGGCTAATTTTTCAGGTGAAGTTAAACCGGCACGCAAACGAGCCACCAAAGCCAACAGGGCCTTGCGTTTTTCAGTATCTACCGAAATATCTTTGCCTTCCTTAAGCGAATTCTCCAAACGACTCAAAGCACATGTAACGTCTTCAATAATATTGGAATCGCTTTGGATTTGCAATTGATCACGCAGACCAGCCGCTATTAAGCGTAAATCTTCCCCACTCTCAGTACCAGAATCTTCTTTTTGAGGCACACCTAATCTATCTACTTGTCTGGGACTATCATTACTACCTACGACTACTGAGCTACCACCTAAACTACTACTACTATCATTATTATTATTAACATTTAGACTTGTATTGCTATTGTTGTTGTTGCTATTCATTTGGCGAGAACTAGAATTCTTATTAAGGGTTTTATTGCTATTTGAGGTAGAGTCTGCCCTGCCTGCAGTCTGTACAGTCACAATTGGATTTTGACTGGATGTTGGCGCAGTAGAGGTTGTTTTTTGTGTTTTATTACTTTTATTATTATTGTTTGGAGCGTGCATGCTACTACTTTCACTAACAGTGATTTTACTATTGCTATTTGTTTGTGCCGACTTTGGTTGTTTTTGGCTGTTTGTTGTTGACTGATTGCTATGGCTGTTGCCTTCTTGTGGCGTTTTTTGTTTATCATGCACCATGGGCTTTAAGGACTCACCCTTTTCAGAGCTATCGGTTTTATCGTCGTCGTCTTTGCTAGCAGTTGAAGATTCCTCTTCTACAACTTCCTCAACTGTTTCGGTTTCAGTTGTGGTAGTGGTTGTAGTTTGAGTTGTAGTTTCCTCAACTTGCTCTGTATGGGTTTCCTGTTTAGTGCAGGAAATTTCCAAATTTTCTATAACGCTTAGGGATTCTTCAGCTGTTTTGGTTACAACAGCTTCCGAAGTTTGCTTTTCTTGATCTTTTTGTGACTTTTCGACAACTTTATCTAGTTTATCGCTTTGTTTCTTATCATCAACTTCTGATTCCGCTTCACTATAATCGGTGACCTCTTCGATAATTTCCTCGTATTCGCTGGCACTACTCTCCTCTTCTTCAGGAACATTAGCTGCTGCTTTCACTTCTTTTTCATCGCCGCTAGTAGGGCTTTTCTTTGTTTCTAAAGGGGGGAGGGGAAATTCGATAAATGTTGCAGTTTTTAAATAAGACTTTATGAACAGAAGAAGCAAAAAAACTATAAAAACAATGGCGGGAGAATGGTATACGAAAGACACAATACGTCCAATAACTGTGATACAATTTACTATTGACGGCGGTCCTAAAGCCATTATCCTTAACAAGGACAACAAGAACAACAACAAAAGAAATCAATAATACGAACGATTATGATGATTTAGAATAAATATTTTACACGGATCAAACAAAGTGAGAAAGGACTGACTAAATGAGTTTGGAAATTTGCTTTCGAGTGAGATGAGACAGAACAGAATTTCGAATTTAATTTCAAATTTAAGTTGATGAGACATTAACATGTTTTGCTATGAATGCTTACATCTCTTTCCTGCTATAACTTTCTCTCTCTTTCTTTCTTTCTAAGTTTAAATACCTAGTAAATAAACATTCTAGGATATTTCTTTCAGTGTTTAACAAATCCAATTTAAAATATTTGTTTTCTTTTCTTTACGAATTGTTTGGTTTAGCTAAAATTTCATATCTAGAATAAAGTAAATATAAAATATTTATAATGATTATAATATAAATATATATGTATAATTATTATGCATAATAAATAACAATTACTAAATAAACAATAAGTTAAATTAAAATTTATATTACTCCAACACCATATTTTTTGTTAAAGGATTTGTGTGTTCTACACCCAAAAGATAATAATGAAAATAATTTAGTTTTATTTGAGAAAAGTGCTTTTAAAAATTAATGTACTTTTTATTAGAAAATAAAAAATTAATCAAATTTGAAACCATTATCTTTAACAAAAGACAAATGAACTTTGAACTCTTGACGTTATTCATTTGTAGTTGTAGAACAATTTATAATTGTTATTATTCTAAAATAAACCACAATTCTTTTTCTATTTTTAAATTAACCCTGTAAACAAAGGTAAAAATTTGGTAAACATTATTTACGCATTTTCTCTTGTTGGTTTCAATGCCCCTGATGACTTTACTTTAAGAGCGGGGAAATTTTTTTAAAGATTTTTTTATATTTTCTTTGTAAGTAACCAATGCGCAAAAGAAAAATCAATTTTTAACGCATCATTCGAGATGACAAATTCTCACAGATTTTTTTTTTTTTTTTGAAATTTCTTTTGTCAGCGGGACAGACATATCCATTGATTAATTTAATATCGTAATAAAAAGCACACCACCATTTGTGTTTTAATTGTGGCGGGGTTTTTTTCTTTGTTGTGATTTTTTTTTTGTTTTTTTTATTTTGAAATACCTTCACGGTCAGCCATAAGTTCCCTCAAACGTGATCGGATTTTACGACGTTCTTCGTATGTTCTAGCCTGTTCCAACTGTAATAAAGAAAAAATAATTTAAGAGAATTTATATATTATTAACGAATTGATTTCTTTTGATTTTTGGCAAATTGAAGAGATTGAGAGTTCCAGTGCTGTTCTAGTTCAGTTCTAGTTCAGTTCTAGTTCAGTTCTAGTTCTACTTCAGTTCTAGTTCAGTTCTAGTTCAGTTCTACTTCAGTTCTAGTTCAGTTCTAGTTCAGTTCTAGTTCAGTTCTAGTTCAGTTCTAGTTCAGTTCTAGTTCAGTTCTAGTTCAGTTCTAGTTCAGTTCTAGTTCAGTTCTAGTTCAGTTCTAGTTCAGTTCTAGTTCAGTTCTAGTTCAGTTCTAGTTCAGTTCTAGTTCAGTTCTAGTTCAGTTCTAGTTCAGTTCTAGTTCAGTTCTAGTTCAGTTCTATTCAGTTCTAGTTCAGTTCAAGTTCAGTTCTAGTTCAGTTCTAGTTCAGTTCTAGTTCAGTTCTAGTTCAGTTCTAGTTCAGTTCTATTCAGTTCTAGTTCAGTTCAAGTTCAGTTCTAGTTCAGTTCTAGTTCAGTTCAGTTCTAGTTCGGTTCTAGTTCAGTTCTAGTTCAGTTCTAGTTCAGTTCTAGTTCAGTTCTAGTTCAGTTCTAGTTCAGTTCTAGTTCAGTTCTAGTTCAGTTCTAGTTCAGTTCTAGTTCAGTTCTAGTTCAGTTCTAGTTCAGTTCTAGTTCAGTTCTAGTTCAGTTCTAGTTCAGTTCTAGTTCAGTTCTAGTTCAGTTCTAGTTCAGTTCTAGTTCAGTTCTAGTTCAGTTCTAGTTCAGTTCTAGTTCAGTTCTAGTTCAGTAGTTCTAGTTCTAGTCAGTTCTAGTTCAGTTCTAGTTCAGTTCTAGTTCAGTTCTAGTTCAGTTCTAGTTCAGTTCTAGTTCAGTTCTAGTTCAGTTCTAGTTCAGTTCTAGTTCAGTTCTAGTTCAGTTCTAGTTCAGTTCTAGTTCAGTTCTAGTTCAGTTCTAGTTCAGTTCTAGTTCAGTTCTAGTTCAGTTCTAGTTCAGTTCTAGTTCAGTTCTAGTTCAGTTCTAGTTCAGTTCTAGTTCAGTTCTAGTTCATTTCTAGTTCAGTTCTAGTTCAGTTCATGTTCAGTTCTAGTTCAGTTCATGTTCAGTTCTAGTTCATTCTAGTTCACTTGTATTTACTCACCAATTCTTTTAAGATTTCTTCGTCCCAAATCTCCTCTATATCACAAGTTGTATAAGTAACTGGTGTAGAAGAGCTTCCAGATTTAATCGTTTTCGTTATACGTGTAGTTTTTACCTAAAAAAAAAATCAAATAAATTTTATACAATTAATTTACAATTTGGTAAAAATAATTAATAATAAATTACAAAAAATTAAACAAATCTTAACGTTTAAAACAACAATATTTAAGAGTGGAAAAACAAAAACAATTTCTTTTAAATTTCTTAAATTTTTTTATTGTCATTTCGATTAATTGCTGATTATTTTGACAAAAAAATACTATACATTGAAATCTTTACAAAAAAAATGACGTAGACAATTTATCTTGTCTTGTCTCATTTCTATTCGTACACTATTTACGTACACTTTGTTGTAAGTGTAGTAGTTGTTACGGAGGAGGAAGTTAGTTGTAGCTGCCAAATGTTCATATTGTTTAAACACAATCACATTAAATTGTAGATTGTACAACAAATATTTTTCAAATGGTTAACAACAACAGATAGGTGGTCAATTGGCACTGAATCGAGGGTGCCATATTTTACCAAATAAATCATCGTGTCATAGAATAGTTTTTCTTAATTTTTAAACGGCGTAAACAAAATGATTAATGCTTGTAAAGTGAAAAAACATGTTTAACGTGTTAAGGGAGAGAACGTGAAGAGGTAGTTTTTCGTATTTCCAAAAATAAATTTAAGAATAATATATTAAAAATACTTATTGCAATATTTGTTATTACAAACTAGTGCAAGTGATAATAGTTTTTTCTCTTTGTGAATAAATATATTTAGGGTATTCAAAAGAATTCCATTAAACGAATGATTTAATATAAATAAATAAATCGAAAATCCATCCTTTACTTTAAAAGTTTTTAAAAACACCTTTAAATGTTTTGTGAAAGCATTATTTTTATACTCTTTCTCACAGCTCTTGCTAAATTCAATTTCAAGACCCGTTGTCAGACATTTTTTCTAGATATTTTTAACAGCAATATCGATCTATGTATAAGTGGCTAAGATCTATCGAGAAATCTTGTTCTATTAATATAATTTGTATGTTTATTGTCTGAGACTTTCTAAACTCTCACCATTTCACAAGATTTAATATAAAGTCTTTGGTTTAGACTCTATATCTTGTAAATCCATTTTAATTATAAAAGTAATCAGTTTTTATTCTCAATAAATAATAATATTCAACAAAAACGTTGAAATTTTTATAAAGTTGATCGATTAGTCGCTCTATAAGTTGGCAGATTCTAATATCTTGGTTCCATAGAGATGGTCTGTTGGTAGCGCCCTACCATCTCTATCGAAGAACTTTTACGCGGAACAATACAAAACACTAACGATCGTGAAACCTACTTCAGAAATAACTATAAAAGTAATCAGTTTTTATTCTCAATAAATAATGAAATTCCAAGAACACTTTGCAAGTTATATAAAGTTTTTGATCGATCTATAATTTGGCTGAAAAGGTTGACAGATTCGAATATATTGGTTCCATACTGACTAGAGATGGTCTGTTCGCCCCCTACTATCCTATCCATCCTTTTACGCAGAACAAGACAAAACACGATGGATCGTGAAATTTTTAAGCGGCTTAAGCGGTTCAGAAATAATTCACGAAGTTTTGAAGTGAAGCTCCCAAGGTAAAAGAAGAAGAGGTCGTCCCAAAAACACCTAAAGACGTACAGTTTCTAAATTGAGTGATGTATTTTTTTTTAATTTTTTCCAAGTTTTCGTGGTCTCCGTCTTCGTACGGTGAAAATTGCGGTTCCTGTGGGTAAAATTAAACAATTATTGAAAGCGCTTCAAAGCCCGCTTTTTTGGGCTATAACTGAACACATAAACTTGGATTATGTTTGGTTTCAGCAAGATGGCGCATGCTGCCACATAATTTATCAGACAATTTATCGTATCAGTCGTCTTAACGATGTTAATTGACCGCATCGGAGCAGACATTTAACGCCTTTAGACGTTTTCTTGTGACGTGCCCGTAAAATCCGATGCTATATGAATAATTTAGAACGGATTTACACTCTTGAGGCTAATATCGTCTAAACCATTTGGGAGTTACAACCGCAAACCATCAACAAAGTCTTGGAAAAATTAAACTTTATAATTTTAAGACCTTCGCCACTTTCAAAAAGTTTCAAATATTAATCAAGAAAGTAAAAAGTGAAGTGAAGAAATTTTGCATAATTACTACTCTTGTAAATATACTACAAAGTAGATGTTGTTATTGTTTAAATCTTTTCAGACTAATAAAGATTTAACGAGATTTTAATAAACAATTTATTAATAAAAAAACTTTTCAAATAAAACAAAGAAAGTATTACAGATTTTTTTCTTCTATAAAATAATTGTAATTAAAATTCTTGCCAAAATTGTTTTGTTTCATTGAAATTTTATTTCTTGAAATTGTTGCAACAAGAAAAATAAAACTAATCAAGACAATTTGTCATAAATTTTTTTCCTTAAATAATTGTTTATTTTAATTATATTAACAGGAAAGACATGTTTCTTTAATGTTCATATTTGTATTCTAATTGTATTTTTAACTCTTTGGCACTTAAACAGTTTAGAAAAATTATTCATTTCACTCAAACGCATTTTTGATGTTCAACATCTCAGCGTGACAAAAAGATAACAGCTGATTTTGTTGAAAATTATTTTTAGAGATAACTTAATCATAGAAGATAAGTTTTATATATTTACTTTCCAAATTTTAAAGATTAAAAAGATATTTTAAATTAATATATTTAATATAAAACATTTGCAATTACTCATTAAGCAGTTTTTAACCTTTTGACCCCTATTTGAGATAAAAATAATTCTTCAGGAGTTTTTTATTTTATATAAAAAATACTAAAAATATTATTATAATAATGCAGTTATTATTTTTGCTTAAAAATCTTTTTAAATTTGATTTGGAATATTTTTTTTTTTTTTTTTTTTTTGGAAAAAATTTTCAAAATTTTCGTTTAATTTTTAGTCATAATTTTAAAAAGCAATAATTTCTTTTTCTCAATAAATAATTATAGACAAAAAATGCTTTAAATTTAATATATCTAATAAAGTAATCAGTTTTTATTCTCAATAAATAATAATTTGAAATCAATTTCAATGCTAATATAGGCTTTAAAATAAAACATTTTAAGGCTACTTTTGATCTTTCGACCCCTCCCATTTCATTGCCTAAAGAGTTTTAATAAGTTAAATCTACGTTGACACCTATCAAATATTTGATTTGTGTGAACGTGCCTAAAAACTGAAATGTAAAATTTTTTATTTTATAAAAAAAATATTGAAAACATTAGCTTGCCTTATCTGATTTCACTTTAAAAAATGGTATTAATTTCGATTTTTAAAATAAATTGATTTTTAATATTTATCTCTAAACAACAATTTCCGATTGAAATTCATTTAATTTCACAATTTTCATTTTCAACAAATTGATTAATATTCAAAAACAAAAGATTTCACACGAAAATTGTCTATTGAAAAGCGAACAACAACAAAAACAATGTGCCATTTTTAAAATATTTGCCTGACGTGAATGCGCTGTTTTTTTTCGAAATTATTATTTTGGAACGTAGAAACAGATTTAAATTTAGAAAACTACGTAAATCAAACACAAACGTATGTAGAAAGAAAATAAAATTGAAATACTTGTAGACATGCGGTTGGTTTGTTGTTTCCTTCTCCTCGTGTTGTATACAAAATAAATTTTAAATATTTTTTTATATAAAAATTTAATAATTTTTTTTTTACTACTCCCTAACATGTACAACAAAAAAATTCAATACTTTTTTTTGTTTATTCAAAATCATTTACCAACTCTTTTTCGTTTTCTTTCTATACCAAACAAAAACTAAAATTATACCTGCATGTAAATAAACTTTGGCACAAGTATAAATTAAATTTAAATAAATAAATAGTAAAAAAAAAAACTACAAAATGTTTTGTATAATTTTCAGTTGTTTGGATTGCACAAACACTATCTTATACGAAAAACATTTTTTTAAAAAATATAATTTTAGAAAGTTATTTAGGGCTTCGTTGTCTGTCTATTACGAATAGTATTCAAATTTTAACACATACAAAAAATGCAATTTTTGCTTAAATGTTTATTTTTGTCTACTTCTAGTTACTCCTTGTTCTTTTTTTCTTGTTGTTTTTCTTGTGCTATTTCCCGTTTAGTAGTGGAAGTAAAATAGAGTGAATATTTGAATTTGGTTTATATGTACGTTGTAAGAATTTTCAATTTCTAAGTTGTTCCGATTTTTTATGTATACACACACCTCTATAAATATGTCTAGGAGTTGTTGCTGCCACAACAGCAACACCTCTAGGGGGAAAATAATGTGTTGAATGCACGCACTTATACACTCATATGTACATAGATTAGATATTCATTGTATGATTTTAACGGTAAAAAAACTGATTGATGTTCTCGTTTGTATTTTAAATTGCTCTCTTTAAATTTTATTCCCCATCAACTGTTGTTGTTTAGTGTTGTCAATTGTTTTGTTTTGAAATTACGTGATTATTTTGTATAATTAAGAATCTGTAATGTTCAGTTTAGATTTTGAATCTTATTATTAAAGAAAGATTTAAAAAGTAAAAGTAGTTTGCTATGAATCCTACTTTTGCTGTCATTTTTGTGGAAAGATTTTAAAATGCACTATATCTAAATAAGATAAAAATCGATTATGGTTTTATCTCGCATAAAAAGATCTGTCATTTACAACAATTCTGATTTAGAAAAATTTGTTTGTAGTTTTCCTTTTTGAGAATAGGGCGTTTTATATTGAACTTAAAGTCTAAAAATTTGTTGCTTAATTTCTATATTGAAATATGTTTTCGACACAAAAGCTTATACGATTATATATGTACATAAACGGTAGTTCGGCTCCTGATTTGATATACTGTGTGGATGAAAAATTGTGGAATTTACAAACAGAGTAATATACTGTATACACCAGAGTGATATAAAAGCTATACAGGCCTATTCCGAATAATAAACTCCATGGAAGTTTGTTCCCTCTCCTATACCTAAAGTATATAAAAGGGAAC